TTATATTATATTATATTATATCATATCATATCATATTAATCTCCATTTTTCTCATGCAAAAACTGAGGTGGAGAAAAGGTTAAATAGATGGTGCAGTTATGCAGCTAACACATGGCAGAGCCAGAATTCAAACCCAAGTTTGGCTGCAGAGTATGTACACTGATGGCTGTGGCACCTTACGGTGCAGGAAGAATAACTTCAGATCTCTCGCCTCTGTCTTCTACCTGGCATGTGCTACACAGTCCTAGGCTTTTCATTTTCTATGGAGGATTTATCTTTTTTTAGTCAGAGATTGGGCAAAGAATACAAATCCTTACTCTTCCTTGAGGTAGTAGGTGTTATTTCTAGTCTCTTTTTCTAGCACTAAACAGTCTTGTGAAGCTTCTGAGTTCATGCAGAAATATGAAATCAGCTTCATAACCTGTCAAGGAAAATCCAGGTCACGGGGATATTAAACACGTCTTTGGACGGCTGGATTGCTGATCTGGCTCACACTTCTGGCTTTGATCTCCTATTTCATTTTTAATTCCTGGGGATGCACCTTCCTTTCTCTTTGTTTATCCCATTGTTTGATAGTTTCTTTCCTTTACCTTTTCCTCCCTACCTTTTAGTTGATTATATATCTGAACCTCTTTTTTGGATATATTTTATTCACCATTTCAACGTGCTTCTAGGAGGAGTTTAGGCACTTAATCATCAAATTATGTCACTCATTGTGGGGAAATCTAAACATGGAAGCTGGCCCCCTAAATAAAAGTTAATCAGAGTTAAGAAGTTAAGAATGAGGAACACAAAGAATAAGTAAGAAGCAAATGTAAGAAGTGAAACTAGTAAAATATATTTAATCTAAGTAATTATTTATGTTGTAGTTCTCAATTTTTATACAATTGTAAGAAACGCACCGTGAAAATGATACCTAAAATAAAGAATATAGGGTCTATAATAATAACAACAATAATAAAATTAATGAAAACCTAACCTTTATTTCAGGTAATTTAAAAGAAACTTAGACTTTTGTTTGGATCATTGATCTCTATTATAAATTTTAACAGTGTTATTTACCTTCTACCCTCCCCACCCTTCATGAGATCTTTAGAACATCTTTATTACCTTTGTTTTTGCCAATTTTTAATGTAAAAGACATGTAATACACTGTTTACTTTTAAAAAATAGAACTAATTGCCAAGGGGAGAAATGTAGATTATAATATCATGGTTTTCCTTTTCTTAAAAAAATGATCCTCCTTTTTTCCAGAACATCTCTCAGCTTTATGATTATTAACATCTGTGGATTGGGAGCCATGTCAAATATTTGAGATTTCCCAATTCATGGACTTTGGTTTCCTGTTTTGCCATTTACTTTGGCAGGTCAAGAAAAGTTTGCAACTCTTTACAGAGAGAGATAGACTGTGCAGTGGGAATTGAATACATTTCCTAGTATTTTTTTCCTAGTCTTCATGCATAAAAATTGACCTGTATCTTTTTATGTTTTTCTGTCCGTTGCAATGTGCTTACTTTCATTTTGTTTGTATGCGGCATGAAATCCTGCATCCATTATCAATAGAGCAGGAGAAAGGAACTTGTTCCTAATTCTTCATTTGTCCAGCTCAGGTGTTCCTTCAAGGCAGACGATGGATCGCTTAGCTTTATTAGGTGAAAAAAAAAGGTCAGCCAGCTCCAGCATGTTCTGCCATGGAGTGTAAATCACTCAAATATACCACTGGAGGTTGTGTTCAGGCATATGAGTAGTGAAAAAAAAAAAAGCTAGAGATTTCTCATTTTTACTCATTTATTGCTCTTTTCCCATGTTGGTCTCATCATATCTGATGGACTATTTCCATTTTTCTTGTTTACCATTTTCTCTCTATCCCTGGAGCTGAAAGGCCAAGTGCACAAACACAGGGTTTGTTTTATTCCCAACCAAGCATGGTACGGTCATTTCCCTGCAAATAATTGGCTTGGGGAAGGAAAGACAGAAAACAAAACAAGTTCAACATGTGCAGCTTGCTCTGACTACACCCCTTTCCAGAAACCAGCCTGGGTACGAACTGTGGGAGTAAGCACCCATTTAAAGAATAAATGAAGAAGTGGCAATAAAGAAATTGTCACTGTTGCTTTAGACAAAGAGAACTGTGCTTCTGACAGCATTTCCAGAGACTTCTCCAGTTTTCTTGACAGTAAGTAAAGCTCTGTTTTGTTGTGCTATGCAAAATATGTGGATGGACGCTGCTAAAATCAATCTATTTTTCAGATGTTTCCAAACACTAATATGTTTTACATGGAAAACCTAATGACAGAAAGTTTCTACTTTTCCTCAATCGAGTTTTATTGTGTCGATACAACAGTAGAATATAGGAAAATTGTAAAATTTGCTTCTATATTAGCTGAAGGAGAATTGTCTAAATATTTGGATATGTAAATCTTAAGTAATTTAATTTTGAGATTATAAAAACTGAAAAAAGAGGTCTCGGTTTATTTGCAAACATTGGATTAAGTTATTTTTCCATTTTCTTATTTTCTTTCTTTTTTCCTTCCTTCCCTTCTTCCTTCCTTCCTTCTTTCTTAACTTACTTTGTAGTTTATTCTTTAGTTATTCAGGGACTCCTGAATTCAGAAAATTGAGATAAGTTGTTTTTTTCTTCTTGTATCTCAGCAACAAGTTTCAAGTAGTTTGAATCTTGATTGTTACCTCACAGGCCAACTCTTGATAAAAGTTCAGTTCAATCTAGAGGGTAAACACCACAAGAAAACATTTCACTGGGTTTATATCTGATGTACATAATAAATTACTCAGAAGACTTTAATCAGAATTCTGATGTTAATTTAATTATCTCTGGGATTTCTATTTAAATGTAAAGAACAATGAATTTTTATTAATCAAATGAGATAAAATTCAATTACTCTATTCATATAGTTGAATTTGTGTTATAAAAGGTAAAAAATATGAAGTATGTTACATGTTCTGAAATCGAATAATATCTTTTTCATTGTAATACCCTATATGTTACTATAAAATTGTGTTAATTGTCTCTCTACCTCATCACCATTACCCAGTTTCCCGAATAGCTTACAGTGAGTACATTTGATGTAAAATTCTAGAGTCATGAATTATTGAAATAATATTTAAATCTACTTTTTGCAGTTCTTAAAAGCAGGAATCATTTTCTCTAGAAATATAATCAAGATTTTTCTTTTTTCTCTTCTCCCCCAAGGTTTTTCTTATTACACTTATTTTTCTAGCTTATACATGTCTACTATCTTATTTGTTTAATGAACAGGCTAAATGCATATGAAACACAGAAGTGTGTATCAACAAACTCAAGCACTTCTGTGCAAGAATTTTCTTAAGAAATGGAGGATGAAAAGAGAGAGCTCATTGGTATGTTTGAAAGTTCGCCTCTTTCTCCAGTTAGCACTATTATTTCTTTGCCGAATGATTTTCTTATTTGATATTGTTAAGTAGCAGACTGGCCTTACTGATTCTGAGGTCACCTCTAGTTGTACTTGTTGAATCAAGAGACTCACAGCAGTCCCTAAAATATAATGGAGAATTAACAAGGACTGATAGTATTACTTGTTTTTAAAAAAGAACAAAAGGAGAGTAAGTTAAAATTTAAATATATGGGAAACTCTAAACTATTAAGGCTGCTACCGTATGTAATAAATTTAGAGTGGAGAAACAATTAAAATGGTGCCTAGCACAAATGGGGCAATTTTAATTTGGGAGAGACTTATTTTCAAGGCCCTACATTTTCTACACAGAGATTATTTCCAAGAATTATGACCAAGTAACACCACTGACTTGTCAGCTTGTACCAAGCAGGTGGGCTATCTACAGGTAATAGCCTAAAATCTCAGTGGCTTAGCACAGTGAATGTTCACTTTTCACTCTCTTCACAATCTAAATAGGGTTGGCAGTGAAGGTGAAGTGCATTGGGCAGGTGAAGAAATCTCCACACAGTCATTCAGGGGCCCAGGCTTCTTTGTCTGTGGCTTGGCTACCTCCCAAGGCCTTGGAGACCTCCACCAGACCCCCGGCATCCAGTCAGAAGACCGGGGGGTACAGGGACCAGGAGAATATAGAAGGTTGTCCACAGTTCCACGAGCCAGGCTTTGAAGTGGTGCCTATCACGTCTGCCCACATGCCATTGTCCAGAACTCAGTTTCCAGAAGCTGAGAATGTCTAGCACTGAGCAGTACAAGAAGAGGTTATTGTAATTGGTGGATCACTAGACAATTTCTACCCTTCAGTTCTTCTTCATTTTCTTTGATTTCTAATACAAGGATATGGCAACTGACAAAAACGTGGCTGTTTGCCACCAGGAACTCTGTGTGGGCTACTCCGTCTTGTAGATTATCTAGAGTCAGATGCCCAGACGTACAGAGATTGTCATCCTGTTAGGCATCCTGCTAGTTTCTATGGTGGCTTCTATAGTAGCACATGATTTAGTGGAGAATTTAATATGTTGGAGAATGATGTGTGTGGCAGGTATGTCAGCATGTGTATGTCACTGGGTTCCCTTAGCTCTGAAGAGGGGAGAACAAAGAGAAACCAACCGTATGGCAAGACTGTGATTTGTCTTCAGCAGTGTTTTGGTGTTGACTGAGCTTTCAAGGGCAATACCGTCTAAATGCATTCTTTTTTCCCCTCTGTTGTAGGAATGGGGGTTCCCAATACTTCTGGGACTCCATATAGCACTGTTGGCATATTTCCAAGAAAATGTGCATTTTCCTGAAATGCCTCCTCAGGATCTAGGAAGGGTAGATAAGTTTAATACATCTTCTATAGCTGTTGTGTATACGCCGATCTCTAATATAACCCAACAGATAATGAATAAAACAGCATTTGCTCCTTTTTTGCAAGGTAGGTGTACTAATGGCAAAAAGAATTACTGACGTTATTTTGTATCTTTTTGTTAAGATGTATAGATTTTTATTTTGAGGTACAGTGATCCGTTATGCTAAATATCTAGGTATCAAGATTCATACACATTTGGTTGATTTTTTTTATCTCTTAACAATTACCCTTTTAAACCCTTTCAGCTTGATGGGGTCCTATTTAGGAACACCTACATTTCTACTGCCTTTTAACTAAAACAGTAGATTTATAACTTCAGATTTGCAGAATAGTATCTAGGAGGAAATGCCACTGAAGGGTGTGGGTGTTTTTAACATGAAAATGCAATGATTAAGATTTATAACTCAGGAAAAACATCTAAAAGAGATTAAATCATGGTTATTAAACAATAACTTTAGAATTATGAAAAATAAGAATGGATAATTTAAAGGTATTCTGTCTGCATCTGATGTAATCTGTAAATATTTTAAAGGCCTTCATTGTAAATGAGGTCATTATGTAACTGAGATAACCAATTCTAGAATCTAAAACATTATAAAAAAGATCCCCTCCTTGACTTTTGGGATGTTTACCTGGAAAATGATTTTAGTTTAATTCCAATAAAAATTATATGATGATGCAGCTGGATATCTCATTCTGTTTGGGGGAAAGCCTGTCATAATGCTCTGTGTCTATTTGTGCCTTGTAATTCATAGGAGGAAGAGTCATTGCAGTACCAGATCAGACATACATGGATAAAATACTTCTAGACAATTTATTCCAAGTAGTGGGAGTCGTCTTTAATGATACCTTCTCTTATAAGTTAAAATTTTTTCAGGGATATTATATGCCATATTTGAATGAAGATCTTTTCACAGGTGACTTTTCATATAAAATACTATTTTTGCATTTTTCATGTTTTTAACATATGGAGTCGGTCGGGATGAGCAACAGAAATGCTTTGATGGCACCTGAGAAAATAGATAAAACACATTTCATTGCTGAACTTATTCCAAGGTCAATCATATCTTCCCATAGTGGATGACTTTCATAAAATTATTGAGTCCTCCACCAGGTATATAGGACACTCACAGGTGAGTTGCAAAAAATATGGAGGGTGATCAAGACTGACAGGTCTTAGCCTCAAGTGAGATTCCAATTTAGTAGGAAAAACAGACATTGAACAATTAATGGCAAGTGGAAGGAAAGCTCTTGAGGCCACCGAGGGAGGACTTACACCACAGGTTCCTAATAAACTGTGGGATTAGAGAAGTCCCACCTGGGGAGTAATATTTACACCAATAGCAGGAGGAATGGCACATGTACGGTGCTAATGGCATTTAGTTACAGAGAGAGGAAGGGCAGGTGTGAAGGCCCCAGATGAGAAAGTTAGTGCATATGGGAGAAGCGCAGTACAGCTGAACGGGGAACAGGAATGTGACTGGAGAACAGGGTGGAAGTTACTCAAGGGCCAGATCCTGTGGCTTCCTGTAAACCTAGGGCAATGGGAGCCATCGAGGCACTTTAAATGGGGCAGAGACATGATCAGATTTCCCAGCCTAAAGGAGCCCTCTGGACACGGCACTCAGGATGCAGGTAATGGGTCGCAGAGGGTCAGGGAGGGTGCAGTCAAACCTAGTAGTGAGTTGGTGGCGGCTTAGACCAGAGTGGGGGCAGTTGAGAAGGAAAGAATGGATTTGAGACTCTTTTAGGAAGTGGAATTGATGTGACTAATAGAATCAATTCTTCTCCATTCATTTACTGAGTATGTGTCCTGCACGGTCCTTGGCCCTGGAGATTCAAGTGCAGCACATACAGAGTCGGCTTGCGTGCATTATTCTAGCCAGGCGTGAGGTAGGGCGGTGGGGGGCGGGGGTGGACAATTCACTCTGCCAGGTGGTGGTAGAGCAACAAAGTAAAAAAAAGCAGGGTTAGAAGATAGAGACTGAAAGAGCTGTTTTAGATACTTTTGTTTATGGTGGCCAGGGAAGACCTCTGTGATGAGTTTATTTTTAAGAAGACATGAGGATAGAGGGAAGGAGTGAGCCATGAATTCATCTGGAGGATAAGCATTTGAGCACAAAAAAAGTTCAGCAAGGAGTTCGGTATGTTTGGAGGAGAGTGTTTGCTTCCATCTTTTTATTTTCTAAGACTTTCTATGCACACTATGGTCTCTATGAATAAAATTGCCTTATTAAGAACTTCCACTTTCTTCTTTTTTCTATTTGGCTGAAGTTCTGACTGGTAGAGCCTCCTGTAAATTGTTTTCTCTTGGATTCTTGTTTCTTATTCTCTAATTGCCAATAATGTTGGTCATGCCGGTCTTTGTGCTTGTAGCTCAGTGTTGGGGTACACATGATCACTTTTCATGCTCACTGGCCAAATACTGGAATAGAGGATTTGTGACTTTACAAACTGCAATCGATGCTGCCATTATACAAGTAAGAAAAGTTCTATTAATGTGAACTAATTCCAGATACATCAAGATTTTGATGAACGATGACATACATTCAGATTTTCATATGTTTATGTAGTGAAACAGGTGTGCAAATGCTGAAATTGGATCTAGGCAAAGGAACACACTGGCTTTTTTTTTTTAACTTAAAATTTTCAAGTTGTTTTAGAATGACAGGAAATTGCAAAAACAATTTACAAGGAGATCCATGTCCCCTTCACCCAGTTTCTCCTAACAGTAATATCTTGCACAACCGTAGAAAAATATTATAACCACAAACTTGACATTGGTACTATCCCCATACCTGATTCAGATTTCACCAGTTTCCACTCTTGAAATATGATTTTGTTTGTTTAAACCCCACTTTAGATCATGACAAATCACTCAGTCATGGAGAAGTTGATGTCAGTTACTGCTACCAATATGAAGACATTACCTTTTATTTCTGTGGAAATTCTTCAAAATGAGTTATTTATTTTCTACTGCTTGTTTTACTTCTTCCCATTTATATATTTTGTATCACTCAATGTTATAAAAGAGAGAAAAAAGAGTAAGGACTTGATGAAAATGATGGGTCTGCATGATTTCGCATTCTGGTAAGTGACTGAGTCAAACAGTGCAAATAAATACATTGAGAGATTAACAAGCAATGGAAAAGTGTTACTGTTTCAGAACATCATGATTTAAACTTGATACACCGGCTACATTTTTTTCTGTTCTTTTTGTCTTTAGTCATTTAATTTTGCTCCACAAGCTAGTGATTATGATCTGCTGAGCACTTCTTCTGTGCCATGAGTCATGTTAAGCTAATCCTGTGATAGAGGGCAACATGAAGATCAAAGAGAATGAAAGAGTTGTCCAAGTCAGATGGATGATGTGTGCCAGAGCTGGGACTCCAACCCACAGGCCCCAATTGTACCTCTCCTGCTGGGTCTGCCCACAGTTGTCCTGTGATTTCTCCCCACTTCCTTATGTTGAAGAAAGTATAATCCTATAATGGCTAGTTTGTGTTCAGAGGTTTGATCACCAGGGCTGTTTTTTTGCAGCAGCCAATTACTGTTTGTTGGCACTGAGACAGCCTATATAATGTGCCCAGCACATGCAGGGCACAGGCTGGCATATAGGAAGGGCTTAATCAGAGCATATGCTTCATATATTGGTATATTCATATCTTTCCCCATTCCACAAATGATTTAAAGTGATTTTTAAATAAATACATATATTTATATATATTTCCACTTATGTATGTATGTACCTATGTGTGTGTATTTGTGTTATAATAAAAAAAATAATTGAAGAGCAGAAACAAAGACCGTAGCAAAAAACAAATAGGTGAGAGTAGTAGATAAAAACACAAATCATATAAGCTCTAAACTTCCAAGAGGACAATGCAGAGAATTCTGCAGTACAATTAGTTACCAAATCCATACTGTCTAGGAAAAAAGGAAAAATAATCTGTTTATTTTACCTGAAAAGAAACCTAACATTTTTTTCAACATTGAATCCTGGGTAATATTTCCCCATATACTCCCCATATCAAGAAATTACTCTTTATGCATGTGAAACTATCTGAAATGGATGAGGAACTTTATTGAGCAATCCTTTGCAAGCTGTATGTTCTCTGAAATAAAACTATGGTCTAGGAAACTTTAAATGTTCTATAAATTATATTTTGTTAACAGAGTTTTAATTCTAATACACCTGATTTGTGAAATAGAAAAAGAGGAAACTGTGTCCTGAAATAAAACAGAAAGGAGAAGAGTGACTTACTGCGAAACTTGGGGAGACAGAAAGGAATAGATGGAATCTGTTAGAAGGGAAAAGAGAGGGGATCTGTGTAAAAAGTACCTTCTTTCAGGTCATATGGAACACCATCCCTGTAGTCACCTGAGAATGGGTAGAACTGGTCAACTCCAGATTGAAATCAGAAAGCTACTGCATATTTAGATGTGGGTTCATTCTCAGCATGAATACTTCTCAGTATGCATGTAGACTAAAATTTAGCAAAATGACTTTATGTATATCCTCCAAACTAAGAAGGAAGGAAAAAGATTTTGAAACATCTTTTATAAAGTACAGGATGTCAACTAGAAATAAATTTTATGACAACCTTGTTTGTTTTTTTAACTAAGGTAATAAATATGAAACGTAACCGGCACTTATGAGTCAAGTAGGATGCTTGACTTGCGTTGTTTTTATCATGAAGGTTTTCATAGGTTTATTAAGATCTTCTCCACCATACCCCACACCCCATTCCCAACAAGTTCCTTTTTCTAGGTAATGTTTTAATTTCCTTCATTGTTAGTTCTCCTACACGATAGTTTTTCAGTTCCTACCTACAGTAGTTCCCTTCTGTGCTTGGGAGGAGATTCTGCAGAACCGCTCTGCTTTTTCAAAAATACTGATGTTGCTGACACAGGCTGAATAATTGTAATGACATGAAATTGAAAAAGAAATCAAATGAACATTACTTAAATGTGTTCTACTGAGACATACTGATTCAAGTTCCTGGTTTTAATACTTTTGCTATTTTTTTTCCAGTGGTTGAATTCTTATTTAATTAGGCAATTTTATTTAGAGGAACGAGCTCTACACTGAGCCAAGGCCTGCAGCTTAATCTTCATTATTTTTATTGATTTAGTTGGTTGACCTTGAATAGGCCCATTAACTAAAAATAGAGCCTGCAGTTTGCTCCTCTGCAAAATCAGAAGCTTGGGCTAAAATACCCTATAGACTTGTTAGATCTCAGATTGGGTACTGTTTCTCAATAACTACCTCATAAAAATGTGAAACTAACACATCTAAAGCAAAATGCTGTGAACATGTAAGGGCGTACCGTAATTTGTATCAGGTTAAATAAAGAAATTCTGAATGGGAACAGCAAGAATGGAATGGGCTTAGTGGAGTTATGAAATGTCACTGTCTTCTATGAGAGAGTGGAGGTGCAGCCAGCTGAGAGCCTCAAGAATGGTCAGATTATCATCTGCCCTCCATGCTTCCATGGTTACTTTGTTGATCAGCAGCTAACTTTCCTTTCAATTCTGCAATTAGAATGCTTTGGTAATACGTAACAAAGCTGCAGATGCAAAATGCTTATCCTTTTAGAAGTATTCATCTTGGGGAACTGCAGCAATTTGAGAGAAATTTTTGTGCATTTTCCCAAAAAAGACAAGAATGTTCTTAATACTCTTGCATTAGCAGTAACAATGGGGAAAAAACTGAATTGCCATGGTCAAAACATCAGAATATATTCATACAATGAAATATTATACAAAGGTGTATAATATTACATATGTTGACTGATAAAGGCAAGTTGTAGAAGAATATGGAGAAGATGGTACTATTTGTGCAATGTTCATACTATTTATACGATACATGAATAAAGAGTTGGGACCTAGCCAGTAGGCACCAGCACAGCCATACTAATGTAAGATTAGTAATATTTTAGTTATTTATCTAGGTGACAAGTAGAAGGGTAATCATGGTATTATTGTTTAGATGTTTTTGTATGTTTTAAATATTTCATAATAAAGTTAAAATAACTGAAATAACTTTTCATCTTTGTTTAGGCTTTCCTGGGGTTTAATCTATGCTGTTTTCATCTTCATTATTTCCATAATCATTACAATTATCGTAACATCTACCCAAATGATTGTCACGACGGGCTTCATGGTTCTATTTACACTCTTTTTCGTATATGGCTTGTCTTTGGTAAGTTCATACATTGACTACAACTCTGCTTTAGGTCCTAGCTGGATGTAGCAAAAATTAATGTCTTGATAGGCTATTCCAGTCATTTCTTTCATGTCCATTGTGTGTGTGTGTGTGTATGTGTGTGTATGTGTACATGTTTTTGCTTGAGAAAGTTTCAGTAGGTGAGAGACAATGATGTAACCTAAATAAATTGGTCATCTCTTTTGCATAAAGGTCTGAACTAATGATGTGATGCATCAAAAAGAAAAAAATAATTTTGACAACCTCATAAAAATGTGAAACTAACACATCTAAAGCAAAATGCTGTGAACATGTAAGGGCGTACCGTAATTTGTATCAGGTTAAATAAAGAAATTCTGAATGGGAACAGCAAGAATGGAATGGGCTTAGTGGAGTTATGAAATGTCACTGTCTTCTATGAGAGAGTGGAGGTGCAGCCAGCTGAGAGCCTCAAGAATGGTCAGATTATCATCTGCCCTCCATGCTTCCATGGTTACTTTGTTGATCAGCAGCTAACTTTCCTTTCAATTCTGCAATTAGAATGCTTTGGTAATACGTAACAAAGCTGCAGATGCAAAATGCTTATCCTTTTAGAAGTATTCATCTTGGGGAACTGCAGCAATTTGAGAGAAATTTTTGTGCATTTTCCCAAAAAAGACAAGAATGTTCTTAATACTCTTGCATTAGCAGTAACAATGGGGAAAAAACTGAATTGCCATGGTCAAAACATCAGAATATATTCATACAATGAAATATTATACAAAGGTGTATAATATTACATATGTTGACTGATAAAGGCAAGTTGTAGAAGAATATGGAGAAGATGGTACTATTTGTGCAATGTTCATACTATTTATACGATACATGAATAAAGAGTTGGGACCTAGCCAGTAGGCACCAGCACAGCCATACTAATGTAAGATTAGTAATATTTTAGTTATTTATCTAGGTGACAAGTAGAAGGGTAATCATGGTATTATTGTTTAGATGTTTTTGTATGTTTTAAATATTTCATAATAAAGTTAAAATAACTGAAATAACTTTTCATCTTTGTTTAGGCTTTCCTGGGGTTTAATCTATGCTGTTTTCATCTTCATTATTTCCATAATCATTACAATTATCGTAACATCTACCCAAATGATTGTCACGACGGGCTTCATGGTTCTATTTACACTCTTTTTCGTATATGGCTTGTCTTTGGTAAGTTCATACATTGACTACAACTCTGCTTTAGGTCCTAGCTGGATGTAGCAAAAATTAATGTCTTGATAGGCTATTCCAGTCATTTCTTTCATGTCCATTGTGTGTGTGTGTGTATGTGTGTGTATGTGTACATGTTTTTGCTTGAGAAAGTTTCAGTAGGTGAGAGACAATGATGTAACCTAAATAAATTGGTCATCTCTTTTGCATAAAGGTCTGAACTAATGATGTGATGCATCAAAAAGAAAAAAATAATTTTGACTCCAAAAATATCTAAGATGTTTCTAGATGATCAGTGAGGATGCTCCAAACAGTGGACCCATCTTTTCTTCCGCAATGGTCCCTGTCACCCGCACGCTTATCATAATACCTCTTCTCCCTTTGATACCTCATCTTGTTCTGACTACCCACATCACCTCTCTCTTCCTTCTCTAAACAAGAGCCTCTAACTTCTCCCACCTTCCACGGTGTTTTCTGCAGAGGGTGTATAGATGCTTTTTGTTAATATATTCATTCCTTTCACTCTTTTCATTTTTATCCTTTCTTCAGCTCTTCCTACAGCTTTTCCCCAACTCTTTCCACAACAGCAGAAGCCCAACCTTTGAAATAGAGCAAAAAATAAGATCCTCTCTATAAAGCATTGAGAGGACTGAGCACAATTATACCTTAATATTTTCATCACTGTCTCCCTGGTAAATATTTGTTATGATATAAAGATCCTTATTTTATTGTGCTATCAATGATTCTCAGTGAACTAAATCTGCGTGACACCTAGATGTCTTCTCTGTCTTTCAGATAGCATTAGCTTTCCTCATCGGTGTGGTGATACAGAAGACAGTCCTCACCAATTTGGTTGTATTTCTTCTCACTCTCTTTTGGGGTGGTGTGGGGTTCACTGTATATTATAAACAACTTCCTTCAGCTCTGGAGTGGATTTTGAGTATTTGCAGCCCCTTTGCCTTCACTGCTGGACTGACTAGGGTAAGAGCATAATTTATTGAATATTCACAAGAATGTGATTCTTCATAGCTCTGCATAATCAACAGTCTTTCAACTTATGAGATTTTATTCTAATTCTACTCTAAAGCAAGATTTGCAAATGTCATTACATTGTAGAGAAATTACCATCTAACAAGTGGAAACTTGAATAAGAACATCCTGAATAAGACTGATAAAAAAATGTATTTTTGAAAATCTTCCTTCCCATATTCTTTTATTAAATCTAGTCTTTCTCTGAGTTTTATCTTGGGACTTCCTTATATATAATTATGTTGTCTACAAATAATGATGGTTTATTTTTTTTCCTTTTGCAGTCCTTATGCCATGATTTATTTTTCTTGCCTTATTGCACAGATTGGGACCTTTAGTGCAATGCTGAATAGGAACATAAGCAAAGGAAAAGCTTTTTAACATTTCACAGTCAAGTATGATTTTGGTGTTGGTCTTCATACCTCTAGTTCCTCAGATTAAGAAAGATCTCTTATTTTCTTTGTTTATGAAGAGACTTTTTTATTATAACTAATTATTGAATTTTATCAGATGGCTCTTCTGTATCTGTTAGACTGACCACATTATATTCTCCTCCAATCTGTTTTATGTTGAAGTACACTGATTGATTCTCAAATGTCCACCCAGCCTTGCATTCATAGAATAAACTCAACTTTGTCATGAAATGTTGACATTTTAACGTAAATTAAGAAGTGGTGCAGTGTCCAGGGGTAGAAGTGGGCTTGGGAGCTGGACTTCCTGTATTCGGAGTTCAGCTTTGCCACCCCTCCTTACTGGGTGATTTTGACTTTAGTTGCTTAAACTACTCCACTTCCCTGTGCCTCAGTTTCATCATATATAAAAAGCAGGTGAGCATAATAAGGCCCACCTGATAGGACTGTAATGAAGATTAAATGGGATGATATGAAAAGCACTGAAAATAGTGCCTGGAGCATGGCACCTATTACATGGCAAAATTATAAATACAAATCTTTATTGCAGGACTAACTAGAAAAAGTGGTAATGTTTCCATATCCTTATCTTAATAAGATGCTTCAAAGAATTCTTCATATTCTTTCTAAGATACTTATTTCTTCATTGCTTAGAACAGATATTTTGGAATATTGTAATTTTATGAAAACAAGCAAATGAATTATAGTTAAAATTCCTGTTCTTAGAACATTGTATCTTTTACATCAGTATTTCTTTCTAATATCCCTTTGATTGCTGTAAAATAGAAATGGTTTCACTAAAACTTGATTTCAGGGTTTCTTGAAAAATGATAGTTCTTACTGCTCCATGGGTTTATTTTTATGCATTTAATCTAAATATTTATTATTTTTGCTTGAATCTTAGATTATCCACCTGGATTATAATATGAATGGTGTAGATTTTCCTGATCCTTCAAGAAACACATATGCAATGATAGCAACTTTTTCCATATTGGCTTTTGATGCTATTTTCTATCTGGTACTGACATTATACTTTGACAAAATCTTACCCTGTAAGTAATAGTAGGTTCTTCTCTTTCCTCTACAGATACTGATCACAGTGAAGAATGTTTTCTTACAGGTTATACATTTTAAGAAATGAAGAATAACAATTATTTCAAACAACCAAAAATTTCACAGAAGTCCAGACTTCCTTCATGTGTACTAGAATCAGAATGCTTTGTTCCTTGAATGATCTTATTTATCTGCTTATTTTCTTATGTTCCTTCCACTTCGGCCATATTTAAAGTTGTCTTATATGCTTTGTATGTATTTGTTTGTGTGTATTGCTTTCTTTTTATCACTCTGGCTTAATATCTGGAGGCCCTTAATAACAAGTGCTTCATTGTTTTAAATCTGGAAAATAACCATATGTTCATCCTGAACAAATACATTTTTTCCATGTACTTTACATAATCATACCATATGATTTTCAGTATTACATTCAATCACATTGTTGTGGTCAAGCAATTTCTTAAATTCACAACGTTTACAATTTTATGTGCCATAGGAAGTCTCTTCCCCAAAACTTGGTTTCATTCATTCTTCTAAATAACTTTTAGACCATATTTTATTCAAACCTTGATTTATATTGGTTGAAAGTTCTAGTATATTGTTTAACTTCTGTGAGAGTGTCATTTCCTTTGTATTCGCTTCCTTCATTATCAAGTTTTCTTCTCAGTAATAGGAAGCTAGAAAATAATTTCTCTATGATGCTTAAAAGTTCAAGATCTTCTGCACCATTCTGAACAAGGCTTCTTTGCTCCTTGTTTTAATGTCACTGACCCAATATTTTATTGCCTTTTGATCAACTAGATGGAAATGAACGCCGTTATCCTCCATTATTTTTCCTGAATGCATCATCTTGTTTCCAACGCCGAAAGATTGATAATAAGTTCATGGAGAAGGAAACAGATCCTGAGCTTCCCCCTGATGGTTATTTTGAACCAGTACCTCCAGAATTCCGAGGAAAAGAAGCCATCAGGTGACCATACTTACACCAATATATGAGTACAAGGTTAATGAATTATTAACCAACAGCAGCAGGATGAGCCAGGGGTAAAATAAGGAAGAAGAAATTTATTTCTGTGAATGTCACTTTGAATTCTTCCAATGCCATCACCACCCGTGTCTCCTAACTGGTTTGAAAGGAAAATTCTCTTTGCTTAGCTCCATATAGTGTTACTGTCCCACCCTCTGTCTTGTCTCCCTCTTTGTTTCTGTCTCTGGCACCCCCATCTCTTTTCTTTCTCCAGATCCCTTCTCTATAGTTTTATCTGGCTTATATAACATAATGGAAGAAGTAAAAAATTTGAAATCAGAAATTCTTAGATGTTCATAGCACACTTCCTGCTCCTTTGATGTGTAATCTTGGATGAATGAAGAAGTTTCTCTGAGTCTGGGTCTCCTATTAAGCAAGAGTAATGTTTACTTTGTAGGGTGGTTTGAAACAGGTTTATATGAGCTCTTCCGTGTCTCTGCTCTTAGCCCCTCCCTCCAGTGATTCCGACTAAGGGGTGTGGACTTGAACCCACATATATGTGTCTGTTAAAGAGTCCTATGGATTCTCCTAAGATACACTGAAGTTAAAAAATTAGAGAACTTTAAATATTAACCATTTACTTAACCTCTGGCTACTACAGACACAGCCATCCCACACACAAAGGAAGGCAGAAGTAAGATACCTTGTCAGATTTCGCTCCTTTTAAGCCTTTAAATTTCCAACTGGTTTGTGTTACCACGCTCACTACCAGCATCTTGGTTGAATCAATGTCCTTACCTTTAGTCTGATTCATCCTTAGAAAATAGGGTAAACTCTGTTTCCCTTTCAACTTGAAGATGCATTTTATGTGGTCCTATGTAGTCACGACGCCTCTAATTTGTCTGAGCTTGGCTCCTGTCTCCTGATGCCTCCCTAAAACCCCTTTGGGATTACAATGTGCATTCAAGTTTGATGACCATTCATTTAGAAATATGCATGCATGTGTAATATTCCAGTGAATAAACCCAGCAAACCTTTAGATGTGGGAGCCTAAAGCTCAGGAAACAGAATGGATCCACACTAGGCTAGTGCTGAAACCATGAGAACCAACCGGATAACTTACTGAGCGAGCCTAGGAGGGGCAGACCCATAAGGCACATAGAGAATCTGGGGAACGCCAACATGATGTAGCTGGGAGAGAGGAGAGGAAAAAGAAAAGGAACATTTAGAAGAACAGGAAGAAAACCAACAAAGTCGAACATCACCTTGACAGTAGACACTTTTGGCAAGGAGACAGGCGGCAGTAGTGACCCATGATCCAGTAAGTATGGATGGAAGGTGTTTGTGGCGTTTGTCATTAGGAGGCCACCGATGCCCTCAGCCTGGAGGGGTGAGCGAGAGAAGTGGTGCAGCCGTCACAGCGAATGAGGAGAAAGCGGGAAATGAGAAAGTGGAGATGGCAAGTTTACACTTTATTTTGAAAAAAATTTTGAGATAAGGGGTGGAGAGTAATTTGATTACATCTAAGCAGAGTGAGAAGCCAAAGAGAAGGTATGAGAGAGAGGAAACTATAGAAAATGCAGCTGAGGGTCTGATTAATGAACAAGGTGGGGGGTGGGAGCAGGTGGGGAAATAGTGCAGGTAAATGAGCTGATCTGGTACAGGGTCAAAAAACACACACACAAACAGATGTTCCAAGACAAGAGGAAGAAAGAGGATAATTACAAAGTGTTCTGCTTTTTTAAGCAAAATGCTAGTCATTTAATTATAACTTTCTAAAGAGATACTTTAATTGTCTCTCGCAGGCAAAATGATTAATCAAAAATAAGTCGATCTTTCCGAGCCGACTGGTTCTACCATCCCTTACTTCGCATCCAGTGGTTGACTGCCTATCACTCTACGAGGGTTGTTCATGATCGGTTCTATTTTACTTTTGTGTTGGCTAAGTAGGCACTGCTTTTGTCATTTCAGAATCAGAAATGTTAAAAAAGAATATAAAGGAATGTCTGGAAAAGTGGAAGCATTGAAAGGTAAGGAGAAGCATTTCATTATTTCATTGACTTACTCATTACAAAAAGTGAGGAAAATTCACTGTGAAAAAATAGAAAATATAGATAAGCAAAACAGAAAAGGAAACAACATAAACAATCGAGCTCCACCACCTGGATACTGACCATGATTGAGAGCTGGATGTAAAATCTTTTCAGGTGTTTCATGCATCTATTAATTTATAAAAAAATGGGATCACATAGTGCTTTACTTAATTTTTAAAGATGAATTTGCTATTAATAATGTTTACTTGCACTCTGGGGAAAGTACATCTAGACTTAAAATTGATAAGTTTTTAATACTAATTTACATATTTTATCTGTACTGGTGAGATTAATTAAAACAAGGTAACACCACTGACCATGAGTTATAGTTCACAAGTCAGTATCCTATGACAGTTATAGTTATAACTGAATGAATCAGTATATCTGATACTAAATATAGTTTTCTCTAACAAAAGTCAGTGGCTACATTTCATAGAGGACAGCTTGCTTTTATTAATAATGATTTTCAGGAGGAATGTAAATGATTGTTACAAGAGACAGAAGCCTTAAAAGTTAAAAAAGAAGAGACATAGGACCTCCTGAAAGTTTAGAGTTCTTAGTTCTCAGTCCATTGTGTTTGTATTGCGTTTATTTTCTAGTAAATGCAACACCCCTAACTCAATCTTACTTATTCCATTGAGATTAGGTCTTACTTGAAGAATTTAATGTACTTATATCAGCAAGTTCATTCTCACTCCTGATTTTTCTCATCAAATGCCATCTAGATTTCTGCTGATTTCTCTAATTTTAGTCAAGTATATATTGAAATATTTTTAAATTCATCACTGCAACTTCCAGAGCCCATTATGAACTACTTCTACACTCATCAGTAGCCATGAACTTCTTTTTGTGTCTGTACATCCTCAACTTCTGCAAGGATTTCTCTGTTTTTAAAAGCAGCTGCACCTTAAAAAGTTAAAAGCAATGAAAACACCAGTCTATATAAAAATCTATGGAACAACCTGTTGGAGGCGCTCTTTGGGAAGCAAGGTTGGGAGTTGATGCTCTCAGCCTTCTCCCCGTATAGCTCGCTCCCAAAGCAACTTTGGAACATTTTTGGGAACATGCGCTTGAAGTCCCTTATCTACATCCTGTTTTTCAATGGCTACGCAGAATTACATTGTATGGAAACTGATTCACTGAACTAACACAGTGGTCGTGTATGAAATTTGATTTGCTCCCATTTAGTTCGCTATTATAAAGCACACCATGAGGGCCATTCTCATTCAGTCTTTGTAAAGATCATTTATTATTTCCTGGATATAAATTTCTAGAAGCACAATGGTTCAAAGGACTGTATTTTTAAGATTTTTGATTCATATTTCAAATCATTTCCCTCCAAGTTTATAAAAATTCATACTCCCGCAGGCGATAATGAACAACAGCAATAATAATGATGATAATAGCAACAAATGTTTAAAGTTTGTTGAGTACTTAGTTTGTGCTGGTAAGTGAGTTACCTGAGCTTTTCCTCATTTACTCCCTTGAGATACATAATATCGCCCCCATTTGACTGCAGAGGAAACTGAGGCTTATGTATTTTTTCCTGTTAAAATGGGTCAGCCCACTCTTCTCTTATTCTTGAAAACATTTTCTGTTTAGAAACAGCAAACACAAAATTTGTTAATGTACTGGTTTAGTGTACCAATGTTATTAATTCATCTTTTTGATGGATTTGAAAGATCATTTCACTAATCTTTATTTGTTATGTTTACTTCGGTCTATTTTAGGATTCAGTTCTATCCCATTGGTCGGCATATCCTGGACCAGGAACATATTATTTTCATTGGTCGGCATACCTTGGACCAGGAACATATTATTTTCATTATTATGTTTACTCCACTGATGTTGCCATATTAGTAACAGATTATTTTAATTACTATATTTTTCAGATAAATTTTAGTATCATGTAGCCAAGACTAATTTCTTGCTATTCTTTAGTTTTTATTAATTATTTGAGTGTGTTCTTCCAATGATCTTTAGAATATTTTAGTCAGATTACAATTAAGGGGTTAATAGATTAGATCACAATTGTATGTATTTTCTCTGTATGTATAATTGTTACTACCAACACATTTAATAGCTAAGTAAACCGAACCTTATAGTTTGGTTTACCTAAGATCATCCAGACAGAAAATGGATGAACTGGGATTTCAGCCCAGTCATTAATTAATTTCAATGTTTGAAAGTAGGTCACGTATTTGAAAGGACCCAATCTTTCAGATATAATTGTTATAAAATTCTTAAGAATTTCATCTTACACTGCCCAACAATTTTCCATAATAGAGTTGGGTTTTCACTTAGTGCAGAAGCAAACAAACAAAAAAAAAATAAAGGATTCTTAGCAAAATGATTTTTTTCTACTGATTTAATAAAAAAATGGGCACAGGAAATATTAATTTTTGGTGAATATATTTTAGAATGTAATGCCATGGAAAATGTTTATGATTTAATATCTGAAAATGTAGGCTAGAAAAGAATAGAGCAGGAACAAAATTTGTTAATATATATATAATATATGTGCATGCATATGCACTGGAAATAAGTGTATTACAAATCAATATTTGGATAGTTAATTGTATCTTCTTAAGTGATTATATTTTTTTCTCAAATATTCTTGTAGTAAGCTTGTAGTCTTAGCAACCTGGAAAGTATTGAGTATTATGTATTTTAAATTATTGAAATGCTTGAGAATATGCAACTAAAATAAATTTTCTTGTTGTATTTTTTAGAACCATCCCTGTGTAATGCCCTCTTATTTATGTTAGTATTTTATTCTGAAAACAGGCTTGCTGTTTGATGTATATGAAGGTGAAATCACAGCAATTCTGGGTCAAAGTGGAGCTGGCAAATCTTTATTGCTAAACATCCTTAATGGGTTATGTGTTCCAACAGAAGGTGAGCAAAGAGAAATTTCTCAGAGGCAAAATGTGTGATAATAGAATGAGGTCATGTGCAGTCTTTCTTATGTTAAGGTTTAAATTTGACTGCTTAAGAGAAAATATGTTTGTTTTCCTAAAGTTGTTTCTCAGAACCATATCATTTATTTATTTATTTTTTATTAATGTATCATTGATATACAATCTTATGAAGATTTCACATGAGCAACATTGTGGTTACAGCATTCACCCATATTATCAAGTTGCCCCCACATACCCCGTTGCAGTCACTGTCCATCAGAGTAGTAAGAGGCCACAGAGTCACTACATGTCTTCTCTGTGCTATACTGCCTTCCCCAGGACCCCCCTACATTATGTGTGCTGATCATATTGCCCCTTAATACCCTTCTCCTTCCTTCCCCAGCCACCCCCCCCCAACCCCAACCCCAACCCCTTCCCTTTGGTAACCGCTAGTCCTTTTTTGGAGTCTGTGAGTCTGCTGCTGTTTTGTTCCTTCAGTTTTGCTTTGTTTTTATATTCAATGAATGAGTGAAATCATTTGGTATTTGTCTTTCTCCCCCTGGCTTATTTCACTGAGCATAATACCCTTTAGCTCCATCCATGTTGTTGTAAATGGTAGGATTTGTTTTCTTCTATGGTTGAATAACATTCCATTGTGTATATGTACCACATCTTATTTATCCATTCATCTACTGATGGACACTTAGGTCGCTTCCATATCTTGGCTACAGAACTATAAGATTTTGAACATATTTTATATTTCCCCAATTTTTATATGAATCACTATCTTTGTGCCATTGCTATGTGATATTTCAGAGGAAATATACACTACTATGAGCATATATGTACATTGAGAGTAATTAGTAGTTAATAAATTATGAAGCCATTATTTTAGATATTTGTGAATATATGCCAATATTTTCCAAAATAAGATCTCCAAGCATGAATAAAACACATTATTTTGCCAATGTTAAATTATTTTTAATTTCTGCTTTTAGGATCAGTTACCATCTATAATAAAAATATCTCTGAAATGCAAGACTTGGAGGAAATCAGAAAGATCATTGGCGTTTGTCCCCAATCCAATGTTCAGTTCGATATTCTCACTGTGAAGGAAAACCTCAGGCTGTTTGCTAAAATAAAAGGGATTCAGCCACAGTCAGTGGAGCAAGAGGTAAATGAGCGTGATTGACTGCACAGCCAGTCATTGCCAAGTTAAACCATGACCGCAGAAGGCCCCTCAGTGATACATCTGCCTTGTTACGAATGAAATGTAGGTGATGAAACACAATCAGTGATTTTAAACTTTGTATCTTTTCTTGTATAGGTACAAAGAATTTTATTGGAATTGGACATAGAAAACATTCAGGATAACCTTGCTGAACATTTAAGTGAAGGACAGAAGAGAATGCTGACCTTTGGGATTGCCATTCTGGGAGACCCCCAAGTAAGTGAAGATTACGCATGTGGAAGAATGCAGATTGACTATTACTAAAAAGTCAAGCTCTTCTTTTATACTAAAAGTAGGAGAGCTTTCGGTGTAACGTATCAATAGAGAATCTGCTATGTTTAACTATGAATATATAAGTACATTGGGCATAAATGGTTGGATAGTTATTATTTTTAAAATTTTTGTTGTTACCCATGCTATCATGTGGAAACAATGTAGGAGAGAGGCGTATTTGTGATGGCATCATCCCTTGTAGGTTTTGCTATTAGATGAACCAACTGCTGGACTGGACCCCTTTTCCAGGCATCGAGTTTGGAGCTTCCTTAAGGAGCGCAAAGCAGACCGTGTGATCCTCCTGAGTACCAATTGCTTGGATGAGGCTGACATCCTGGCTGGTAATTGCTGGCTTTATCTCACTATGACAACAAAGACCTTGGGAAATGTTTATTCCCAAGGCGAGAGCCCAGTTCTCTTTATCTCTGAGTGCATTACATCCATAGCAGCCTGGGAGATGACAGGAGCCTAGTCTCGCTGTAGAATTTCTCACCGACTGTATACATTTGCTAGATTGTGGCCAGGAAGAAAAAAATGTGATTTCTGTTTTACATCAGCTTTCAATCGACTTTAACATCCAAATCTTCTTTAATACATATTTGACTGAAAAATATCCACTCATTCTTTAGTATCCAGCATAGAAAATGTGTCCATGTAATTTCTGCTTGTTTGTTTTTTCAAGGATTATTGGAATGCACTGAAATAGACTAGAATTCATAAGCTCATTTTTAAATGCATCAATTTTAATGTGTATTTCAAATTCTTAACTGCACACGAGATAAATATGCCTCGTAGAACACTTCTGCTTTGGAAATCTGAGCTTTGGATCTTCACCTATATTATCCAGAGAAAATGGAGTAATGGGGAAAAATGACTCCTATCACGGTTTCTTTCTTGCTTCCTTTTACTCAGACAGAAAAGTGATCATGTCCAATGGGAGACTGAGGTGTGCAGGCTCTTCTGTCTTTCTGAAGAGGAAATGGGGTCTTGGTTATCACTTAAGGTAAAGACTTTGGGGATAGACTGAATACATATATATTTTTCTCAATACTACTGTATCAAAAAGGTAGACAGTTGTGAGAGAGAATTGGCCTTATGCTTAATTTCTGCCAAACTGTATTGATGAGCATTTCCCAAATGCTTTTCCTACCTTCCTACCTTCCTACTTACTGATATCATTACTAATCATATCATTACTAATGCTAATGATAAGCAAAATTTCAAAATTATAAGCCCAGGCTGACAGATCACAGCTGGGCTACTTCCTGGACCATTTTCCAGGTAATCGCTCTGTGTAGCCTTCACCTCTACCTCTTCCCACCCTCTGTTTTCCTCAGTTGATCCATACAATCCTGTGACATTTTCCTTCTCTCCTAGGGCACAAAATCAAATAATTTTGGAAATTAGTATCAAAAGTGGGGGTAAATTTGGTGGCAGAGAGCGAAGGAGACCATGTCTAACAAGAAACTGTGTCCAGACGAAAAGAATTTTTAAAAAACAAACTCCAAAAATCTTATGGCCAAAGCATGCGTGTAGGCCAAATTTCCCTATTAGTCACTAATTTCTGATATTCACACAGTCTGGTGTAATAATTATTATCCCTGAGAAGTCTCTTCAGCCTAATGGTCTGTTTATCTTCCTACTTAATTCACAGTTTCCATTACACAATGTGTTTGTAAATTTGTAGTTCTGAGTTTATACACCTTTGTATAGATCATAAGATTTTTCAAACTGATGACATTACTATTATTATTGTTATTATTTTCTCATTTTGTTTGTTTCCTAAAGCTAAGTTTACTCAGTCACTAGATATTCAATAAAAGCTCTTGTGATGGTAGTAGAGAAAGTACAAATGAATTGTCTTTTCTTTTAAATATTAGCTTATACAGAAATGAAGTATGTGATCCAGCAAAAGTAACATCCTTTATTAATCATCATATCCCTGATGCTGAATTGAAAATAGAAGGCAAAGACAAGCTTGTGTACACTTTGCCTGTGGAAAGGACAAATACATTTCCAGGTAACTTAAGCATGATGGGAAGGGAATGAAATCTGGCAATGTGTTCTCATTATGATAATGTCATTGTTTAATGGATTTAGAGTTTGTTTTAGGTTAGGTTCCCTAAGAAACAGAATTCAAGCTGAGGACTGATTTCAGTACAGTTTGTTTAGTAATTGATACCCAGACACAGCAGAAGGGCATGGGGACATGAAAGGGGGAAGGGAAGGAAGCCAGGGAAGTTTGCATTATCGAGCAAGCATTGGGGTGTAACACCACGAGAGAAATAAATGAGTACCTAAGTAAGGGGCTCAGAGTTATATCCTCAGAGGGGTAGGACAGCTGGGGCATGTATTCTCCACTCCCTATCCGTTTTTGGTTAAGGGCTGCTTCCAGGAGCATTAATTTTTTGAACGATCTGGCTTGTGCTCAACAGGAGCTTGGCATACTTCAGAGCCCAGGAAAAAAATACGTTTAGGCAAGTGTTCAGAATAAGCACATCTGCTGTGTATAAGTGAGCTCAAAAGAGATGAGGGTGGGGCATCAAGGTGTCTGGTACAGGTTCCCTGTTGTATTTTAATTTAATTGTATATCTGTTTATTTCCCATAGAAAAATATAGTTTATTCCCAGAGAAAAACATAGGATTCTCCATTGGTTCCTAGTATCCTGGGTAACAGTTCCAACCTAGGATTTGTTTGCTAAATAGTTCTAATAATCATTAACTCTTTGTACAATGCTTACCATGAGTCAGGTGCTATTCTAATGGTTTCATATATATCATCTCATTTAGTCCTCACATCTGTTCCATGAGATGCATTCTCTAATTTTTCTGTCTTACAAATGAGAAAATGTATGTCTTTTCTGATTTAAACAGCCTCCTTTTTGTTTAAACATTTAGCTTATTAAAGATGTGACTCACTACAGGCCTGATAAATAGGCTTATTTGGATATTCCAGTCTCATTAGGGAGATGCTCAGGAATTCACCCCCAAATCTGGCAGCTCCCTGTGTCTCTAGTAGCAGGAAGAGGGTGTCCTCACCTCCACAATCTGTACTGTGTCCCTCTGTTCTTGGACTAACATCCCTGAAGCACAACGAGCCCACCTTCTTTCTTGGTCAGAGAAGGAGGGCAGTGAGCTCTGTGCCGATACCTCCCCGAGAGCATGTCATTTAGCCAGAGTCCCTGGTGTTGATATGTGGGCCCATGGCAGCCTCTACACACAGACCTCAGGCCTCTCCAAGTCCAGTGGCATATGTATGTCCTTGTAGGTCACAGGGGACTCCCAGCTCCTCTGTATGCCACATGCAGGCCTTGGGAAAACAGTGCTGTTGCAGCCTCATATGCATCTAGTTCCTGAGTAATGTTGCTGGCCCATCAGCCCACCCAATGCAGAAAGTGGCACATGAGAAGCTTCTCAGAGAAGCTTGCATCCTCATCCAAGTATCCACCATGAAGAGGTACACCATGAATGTTTACTGGGAACCTATTATATAAAAGGCACTGTTCATGATGCTAGGGATACAGAATTAAATAACACATGTGAGTCCACACTGAAGGAAGACCTGGAATATGAGTAGAAATGCACATTGATCTGTGGTGTCGAGGGAGAAGACAGTGCTGTTTCTGCTTGCTCATATTTCCTCAAAGAAGTTTGCAGGGAGTTCATGAGCTGAGAATAGAAATGTAGGCAGTTTGAGCATAGAGAACATGGTCTGACAAATGCATCTCAGAGTGGGAGAGCGTTCTAATGAAATTTTGCTTTTGCTTACGGTGAGGTTCCAAAGACATAGATTTTTCTGAGCAATATTCTGCATCATTTAAAAATAAGTGATAATTTCCCAGGTTTCATAACTGATGTGGAGTTTCAAAGGTATCTACTCCTGTCTGTTGCTTAGATCTTTTCAGTGATCTTGATAAGGGTACCTGCCAGGGTGTGGTGAATTATGACATTTCCACATCAACTCTGAATGAAGTCTTCATGAAACTGGAAGGAAAATCAACTACTGAACACGGTAAATTCATTGATATAATTCATAGGAAGCCAATGTCCCCATAATGTATCAATTTAGACTTGATAATGTCTTAGGCATGATTCACACGAAAGAATTTGACTCTGCTGTCTGGGAAGATACTTGTGATTATTTCCTAACATCATTCCAAGGACTAAGCACAGGTCCTATCTTTGAGTACACCAATTTTCTCTTTGGAAACACCTTGCTTCCTAATGAGCAGTTTTCTCTTATCCCCAGATGCTCACTGCTACTTGGAGACTTTGAGGATGTCAAGGCTCTTAACCAAGACCAGGAAGTCTGAGCAGATATTTCATATAGATATTGCTCATAGCTTCATATGCCACTGAGCTTGTTCAAAATTCCACTATGGTCTGAATGTGGGAAAAGGCTTAGGATCATCTGCTGTGAATTTTAATGGATGGTAATAACAGCTGTCACATTTGGAGCCTCTTTGCCAGATACTGATCAATGTATGGATATATTGCATTACCTCCCTACAGCAACCTTTTTGACAAGTGCCATTTCTAATTTTCTAAATTAGAATTATCAGACCTCAGAGGAGTTAAGTGATTTGCCCTGAAATGTGCCACTCATAAGTCATATAGTTGAGAATCAGGGACAGGTCTGGTGGTTTCAGAGCTGGTAATCTTTCACTTTTAACGTCTAAATTATTGATCGCTTATTAGAAGTTGAGCATCAATGATTGGCTATACCTATGGAGAACATTTCTTGAAATCCCTCAGAATATTGTCACATATGGGATCTTCTATCCCTTTGCAAAGAATGGGCATATGGGCAGGATGAGATCACCCTTTACTGAATGTGTGAATTTTGGTTTGAATCAATATATTTTATCACTGAGTTTATTACATGTAAATGTCGTAAACATAATTGATTTCTTACATTGTTTGCTTTGTAGCCACAAACATTCTAGAACAATCTTTAAGGTTAGTAAAAAGAGAGAACTTTGAAACCCCAAGGAAGGCATTAATGTGTGTGTGTGTGTGTAGATTTTAAACAAGCAGAGATGATAAGAGACCCAGAAGGCCTGCAGGAGGCGGAGCTGGCTCCCTCTTCTCTCCCTGAAATGCAACCCACTGTGAGTGACTTGGGCCTCTGGAGAATGCAGGTCTGTGCAATAGCCCGGCTCCGTTTCTTAAAGTTAAAACATGGAAAGAAAGCGCTTTTTACCCTGTGAGTATCAGAATGCTCTGGTTTTTCTAGATAGTTTACAGCAGAAGAGAACTTAAAACTAACATGATACCCAACATGCCTGCTGAGGATGGTTACAGGCAGGATTCGATTGTGCTGATAGTGGGCATACCTGTGTGGCAGCACTTGATAACTCTTACCACCATCTGTTTGGTTTGTGTAGTTTGATAGCCTTGGCTTATATAGCAAAGCCTTTTTGGAGTGTGTAGCATCGAAGGTATGACTTTCAAACTGTTAGCACCTGTAATCATGGGCTGGCACAGAGTGGGTATACCACAAATATTTGTGAGATGTCTGACTGAATAAAAAAAGTGGCTATCGATTCATGTGGTAATTTTTCTTTGTTGTTAGGCTATTGGTATTTGGAATTGCAACATTCCCTTTGATTGTGGAAAAGATACTTAGTGCCGTACTCATTCAAAAGAGTGACTGGGAATTTAAACCTGACTTGTATTTCCTGTCTCCTGGACAACTTTCCCAAGACCCTCGTACCAGCCTGTTGATCATCAATAACACAGGTGAACAGAAAAACAAATTTTAAATCCAGATATAAGTTATTTTTATGTTGGAGGAAAAAAGTCAAATAATAAGTTAGAGAAAAATGTGTGTTTTGACTTCCTTCATAGAAAACAACTTCTGGGGCACAGTGCATATGTGCAAAGGATGGGGATGGTGGGACAAAATGGAAGAAACCTGGGTCCCTGTGTAACCTGCCTAAGCACTGACCCCCTAAGCTATGATGTGAGAGAGAAATAAACTTGTATGTTGGCTGAGCCACTCCACTGTGAGATCTCTTTGTTACAGCAGCCTGACCTGTATCTTAAATACCATACACACTACTGACACGGAAAGAGGGCCTGTTTATACCCTACACCTCTCTGATGGGACCAGGAAGGTTCCTTTAGATAATTTGATACCTGTATTCTTTTTATCCTAAATAATGGATAACTGGTTTTGTCCAGCTACTTATTTAACTTTGAAGAAAAGCTTTTATGTTTTTGCCCAAGATGTCAAAAAATGTACATATTCAGAGTAGGAGTCTTGTGTGATGGGTCCCCATGTGTATTCCCATTTTCATTTACATTTGTGTCTCAGGCTTCTTTAGGTTTCCTCTTTAAACAAAGGCATTTTGTTCATTTCTATTTGACATTCTTGTTTTCAAATCCAGTTTTAGAAAGTAAATTTTATTCACTCCGCCACCTTAAAACTGAGTCTTCCTAATTGTACATTTGATTCCCAAGATAGAATTATCTCCAGCCTGTTACTGTCTTTTGCATACATTTTCATCTCCAGTTACTCTGAGAACAATATACTTGTGTTAACTTATTTTTTTCTTCCCTGTGCTCATTTGTTAAGTATTTTGTGATTTAAGTTTGGAGTTTCTATGCCATCTGGTTCCTCTTCTCTGAAAATGTGCTGATGATTGGTACGTGTTTGTCTTTAAATCGATGAGTCCCTGTTTGTCTCAGTGGAGGTGGGTCACCATTAAGGTATCCCACTGCAGGTGACTATGGAGGTGGGGTGGCCCCAGGGCTGCCAGGAATGCCTGGGGAGCTTTATTCTATGAGTGCACCCCTTTCCCACTGGAGGAGCCCCCATTTGTTTGGGGCCTGGCCCTGTTTTTCTAATCCTACAGTCCCTTCTGAGTGTCCTCAGCATGAAGTTCCATTTCACAGTCCAAATGTGCAAAACGCAAGAGTCCTCCTTGTCCCATTCCAACCTGTCCTTTAACTGCCTGGAGTTGCTTTAGTTCTTGCCCTGCTGTTTTCCCCAGATAACATTCCTTAGAACTAAGTCTGGGGACTTGTATTCTGGGGACACCTGCAGTTGTGTGAGACCTGGGGAGGGCCGGCAGACACCTGTGCCAGGGCTGGTGAACCAGTTAATGAACCCGACCGTGGCTCCTGAGCCCACTTTGCCCCTTAAACTTGTCCACTCTGAATTTAGATATTCTGGAAATTGGTTTTACTTTTGTAGTTGTTTGTTCCTAATCACTCTAGGCTGTGGGTGTTTCTCAGTGCTTACTTCTCAATCTCACCTGCTTTCTTCTTAGGGGCATATCAAAAATTTTGCTCTTCATTTCCAATTTCCTAAGAAAAAATGTATTTATGTAATAAATAATGTATTTGTGTAATAAATAAAAATATGCAACACAGATATGAAATATATTTGTTACACATGTACATTACATATATGTAATTTCAAGGAATAAGGGAAAAAAGGGGAGTGTTATTATTGGCCATTTCAAGCTGGCCAATCTGAAATATTCCTCATATAATCATTATATATCCACAAAACACTGAGTTCAAATGTATTTTTTAATCAAGAGCCACAAAATACAGTTATCTTGTTTTAATGGTCACATGTTAACTTGCATCAAACAGAATTACAAAGCTAACTCATCGCAGCATAAGATTTGGCAACTAGAAGATGGTAGACTGGGTTCTCTTTCATGGACCAATATTATTATCATTATTATTATTATTATTTTTTGCCTCAATGTTAATTTTTTTTGGTATCATTAATCTACAATTACATGAGGAGCATTATGTTTACTAGACTCCCCCCGTCATCAAGTCCCCCCAACATACCCCATTACAGTCACTGTCCATCAGCATAGTAAGATGCTATAGAATCACTACGTGTCTTCTCTGTGTTGTACAGCCCTCCCTGTGCCCCCCACCTACATTATGTCTGCTAATAGTAATGCCCCTTTTACCCCTTCTCCCTCCCTTCCCACCCATCCTCCCCAGTCCCTTTCCCTTTGGTAACTGTTAGTCCATTCTTGGGTTCTGTGAGTTTGCTGCTGTTTTGTTCCTTTAGTTTTTTCTTTGTTCTTATACTCCACAGATGAGTGAAATGATTTGATACTTGTCTTTCTCCAACTGACTTATTTCACTGAGCATAATACCCTCTAGCTCCATCCATGTTGTTGCAAATGGTAGGATTTGTTTTCTTCTTATGGCTGAATAATATTCCATTGTGTATATGTACCACATCTTCTTTATCCATTCATCTACTGATGGACACTTAGGTTGCTTCCATTTCTTGGCTATTGTAAATAGTGCTGCAATAAACATAGGGGTGCATATGTCTTTTATAAACTGGACTACTGCATTCTTAGGGTAAATTCCTAGGAGTGGAATTCCTGGGTCAAATGGTATTTCTATTTTGAGTTTTTTGAGGAACCTCCAAACTGCTTTCCTCGATGGGTGAACTATTTTACATTCCCACCAGCAGTGTAGGAGGGTTCCCCTTTCTCCACATCCTTGCCAGCATTTGTTGTTCCTAGTATTTTCTATGTTAGCCATACTAACTGGTGTGGGGTAATATCTCATTGTGGTTTTAATTTGCATTTCTCTGATGATTAGTGATATGGAGCATCTGTTCATGTGTCTGTTGGCCATCTGAATTTCTTCTTTGGAGAATTGTCTGTTCAGATCCTGTGCCCATGATGTACCAGTATTATTATCATGATGTGCAAAGAAACCTGCCTTCACATAATACCCTAAAATTGACTCTAAGTTGTGTATGTGGTTTATTTTAAAAACTTGACATATGTGTTCTTGCTTTATATGCCTTCTGTTATTGATTTCATACTAGAATCAAATATTGAAGATTTTATACAGTCAGTGAAGCATCAAAATATACTTTTGGAAGTAGATGACTTTGAAAATAGAAATGGTACAGATGACCCATCATACAATGGAGCTATCATAGTTTCTGGTAAGCAAAAGGTATGTTTGCCTCTTGCCTCTTGTTTTTATTTTTATGAAAAAATATCTATTAACAAAGTGCTATTTTTTATTAAAGTATCATTGATATACAATCTTATGTTGGTTTCAAATATAAAATACAGTGGTTCCATACCCATATTTTTAAATCCTCACCCCCTCTAGTGTGGACACTATCTATCTAGGTAGTAAGATGATAGAGAATCCTTAACTTTATTCTCCATGCTGTTCCAGTGACCAATATTGTGACTGCAAATTATTGTGCCCCTTTATCTCCTTCCCACTCCCTCACCACCTTCCCCAACCCCTCCCCCTTGGTAGCCTCTAGTCCCTTCTCAGAGTCTATGAGTCTACTGCTATTTTGTTCCTTCTCTTTAGCCTTTTTTTTATGCTCCATAAATAAGTCGAATCATTCAGTATTTGCCTTTCTCTACCTGGCTTATTTTACTGAGCATAATACCTTCTAGATCCATCCATGTTGTTCTGGATCCAAATGGGAGGATTTCCTTTCTATTTTATGACTGAATAATATTCCATTGTGTGTATGTACCACATCTTCTTTACCCATTCATCTATTTGTGGACATTTAGGTTGCTTCCATATCTTGACTATTGTAAATACTGCAGCAATAAACATAGGAGTGCATATGTCTTTTCAAATCAGTGATTTTGTTTTCTTCAGGTAAATTCCAAGGAGTGAAATTACTGGGTCAAATGGTATTTCTATTTTTATTTTTTTGAGGAACCTCAGTATTGTTTTCCATAGTGTTTGCACCAATTTACATTCCCACCAACAGTGTAGGAGGGTTCCCATTTCTCTGTAGCCTCACCAGCATTTGTTATTCTAGTCTTTTGGATAGTGGTCATCCTAACTGGTATGAAGTGATATGTCACTGTGGTTTTTATTTGCATTTCCCTTGTGATTAGTGATGTGGAGCATCTTTTCATGTGCCTGTTGACCATTTGTATTTCTTCTTTGGAGAAGTCTTCTCAGGTCCTCCACCCACTTCTTAATCAGGTTATTTGTTTTTTGGGTTTTGAGGCATGTGAGTTCTTTATATATTCTGTATGTTAACCCCTTATCAGATGAGTCATTTATGAATATATTCTCTAGTACTATAGGGTGTCTTTTTGTTCTGCTGATGGTGTCCTCTGCTGTACAGAAGCTTTTTAGTTTGATATAGTCCTACTTGTTCATTTTGATTTTGTTTCCCTTGCCCAAGGAGATGTGTCCAGGAAAGAGTCACTCATGCTTATATTCAAAAGATTTTTGCCTATCTTTTCTTTAAACATTTTATGGTTTCATGACTTACATTCAGGTCTTTGATTCATTTTGAGTTTACTTTTGTGGACAATAATCCAGTTTCTTTCTCTTACATATAGCTCTCCAGTTTCCCCAGTACCAGTTGTTGAAGAGGCTGTCTTTTCCCCATTGTATATTCATGGCTCCTTTATAATATATGAATTAACCATAAATATAATGGGTTTATATCTGGGCTCTCTATTCTTTTCCATCGATCTATGGGTCTGTTCTTATGCCAGTATCAAATTGTGTTGATTATTGTGGCTTTGTAGTAGACTTTGAAGTCAGGGTGTGTAATCCCCCCAGCTTTGTTCTTCTTTCTCAGGATTGCTTTGTTCTTCTTTCTCAGGATTGCTTTGGTTATTCAGGGTCTTTTGTGGTTCCACATGAATTTTAGAACTATTTGTTCTAGTTCATTGAGGAATGCTGTTGGTATTTTGATAGGGATTGCACTGACTCTGTAAATTGCTTTAGGCAGGATGTCCATTTTGACAATATTAATTCTTCCTATCCATGAGTATGAGATAGATTTCCACTTATTGGTGTCTTCTTTAATTTCTCTCATGAGTGTCTTATAGTTTGCAGAGGAAAGGTCTTTCACCTCCTTTGTTAGGTTTATTCCTAGGTATTTTATTCTTTTTTGATTCAATTGTAAATAGAATTGTTTTTGTGATTTCTCTTTCTGCTGGTTTATTGATAGCATATAGAAATATGACAGATTTCTGTGTATTAATTTTATATCCTGCAAATTTGCTGAATCCAGTTATTAGTTCTAATAGCTTTTTAGTGGATTCTTTAGGGTTTTCTATGTATAGTATCATGTCATCTGCAAATAGTGACAGTTTAATTTATTCCTTACAAATTTGGATTTTTATCTCTGTGTTGCCTGATTGCATGGCTAGAACCTCCAGTACTATGCTGAATAAAAGTAGAAGAGTGGGCATCCTTGTCTTCTTCCAAATCTTAGAGGAAAGCTTTCAGCTTTTCACTATTAAGTATGATGTTGGCTCTGGGTTTGTCATATATGGCCTTTATTATGTTGAGGTATGTATACTCTATACCCATTTGTTAAGAGTTTTTATCCTGAAAAGATGTTGAATTTTGTCAAATGCCTTTTCAGAATCTATTGAGATAAATATGTGATTTTTCTCCTTTTTGTTAATGTGATGTATGATATTGATTGATTTATGAATATTGTACTGTATTTGCATCCTTGGAATAAATTCCACTTGATCATAATGGGTCATCTGATGTGTTTTTTGAATTCATTTTGCTAATATTTTGTTGAGGATTTTTCCATCTGTGTTCATGAGGAATATTGGTCTTTATTTCCTTTTTTTGTGGTGTCTTTGTCCGGTTTTGGTATTAGTTTGATAATGGCCTCATAGAGTGAGTTTGGGAATATTCCCTCCTCTTCTACTTTTTGGAATACTCTAAGGAGGATGGGGATTAGCTCTTTAAAAGTTAAATAAAATTCAGGCATGAAGCCGTCTGGTCCTGGAATTTTGTTTTTAGGTATTTTTTTGATTACCAATTCAATTTCATTACTGGTACATGGTATGTTCAGATCTTCTGTTTCTTCTGGGCCAGTCTTGGAAGGTTGTATTTTTCTAGAAAGTTGTCCATTTCTTCTAGGTTATCCAATTTATTTGCATATAATTTTTCATAGTATTCTCTAATAATTCCTTGTATTTCTGTGGTGCCCATTATGATTATTCCTTCTTCATTTCTGATGTTGTTTATGTGTGCATACTCTCTTTTTTCCTTGATAAGTCTAGCTAGGGGTTTATCTATTTTGTTTATTTTCTCAAAGAACCAGTGTCTAGTTTCATTTTTTTCCTATTCTTTTATTCTTCTCTATTTTATTTATTACTGCTCTGATCTTTATTATGTCCCTCCTTCTATTAACTTGGGGCTCCATTTGTTCTTCTTTTTCTATTTTCTTTAATTGTGAGTGTAGACTGTTTATTTGGGATTGTTCTTGTTTTTTGAGGTAGGCCTGTATTGCTATGTGCTTTCCTCTTAAAACTGCCTTCCTTGTATCCTACAGGTTTTGGGCTGTTGAGTTTTGTTTTCATTTGTCTCCCTGTATTGCTTGATTTCTGTGTTAATTTGGTCATTGATCCCCTTATTATTTAGAAGCATGTTGTTGAGCCTCCATGTGTTTGTAGACATTTTTGTTTCCCTTGTGTAATTTATTTCTAGTTTCATACCATTGTGGTTTGAGAAGCTGCTTGATACAATTTCAATCTTTTTTAATTTATTGAGGCTCTTTTATTGACCTGGTATTGATCTATTCTGGAAAATGTTCCATGTAAACTTGAGAATAATGTGTATCCTGATGCTTTTGGGTGGAATGTTCTGTAGAGATATGTTAAGTCCATCTGATGTAATGTACTGTTCAGTGCCTCTGTTTCCTTACTTATTTTCTGTCTGGTTGATCTGTCTGTTGATGTGAGTGGTGTCTTAAAGTCTCTTAAAATGAATATGTTGCAGTCTATTTCCCCTTTTAATTCTGTTAGTATTTGTTCTACATATTTGGGTGCTCCTATATTGGATGCATAGATATTTATAATGATTATATCCTCCTGTCGGACTGACCCCTTTATCATTATGTAATATCCTTCTTTGTCTCTTCTTACTTTGTTTGTTTTGAAATCTATTTTGTCTGATATAAGTACTGCTATTCCTGCTTTTTTCTCGCTATTATTTGCATGAAATACCTTTTTCCATCCCTTCACTTTTAGTCTTTGTATGCCTTTGGGTCTGAATGAGTCTCTTGTAGGCAGTATATATATGAGTCTTGTATCCTTATCCATTCTGCCACTCTTTGTCTTTTGATTGGTGCATTCAGTCCATATACATTTAAGGTGATTATTGATAGATATGTTCTTATTTCCATTTTATTAATTGTTTTCTGGCTGTTTTTTATAGCTGCTCTTTGTTCCTTTCTTCCTCTCATACTCTTCTCTTGTTATTGATGGTTTTCTTGAGTGTTAGAATTGGATTTCTCTTTGTTTTAATTTATTTTTGTTGTGTCTATATTTATTGTAGAGTTTAGTTTTGTGCTTATCAAAGAGTCAAGGATAACTTCCTTACTATCTAATAGTCTATCTTAAATTGCTGATTACTGTATTTCAAACACAGTCTAAACAAACTTTGTGTTTTCCTTCTTCTTCGTCCTCCACATTTTCCACATTATATGTCATAATCTACACTTTTTGTGTATCCCTTAACTGATTTTGTGATGTCTTGCCACTGGGTTTCATCCCCAGACGAGGTCCCTCTTGATTCAATGAGATCAAAAAATGACAATGGAATGTTCTTAGGCTGAAAGGGTTTATACCCAACTTTATTCCCATGGTGGCAGGTCAAGCACTAGAATCCCTTCCACCTCGGAGTGAGTCTGCATGCAGCAAGCCCATCTCAGCCTCTGGGCCTCTCTTCTCCTGCAGCTGTCTCAGTCTCTGTCATCAGTACTGCCTCCACTGCAGCCTCTGCTCTCCTGTAGTTGTGCAGCCCATAGCACTGCGTGGAGCTCTTTATATGGAGTCAGTAGCAACATATTGCTCACATGTGCAATGAGCAAGCTGATCAGAGTCAGCTGAGAATCCTGGCCACAGGAACTTTCATTTTCTCTACATGTGTCTATTTGATTTTACTTATTTTGTTTTGTTTTAATTTCTTACTTGCTTGCAATTAGTCAGTCTATTACTGTTACTATCAGTTTATTTTCACTTGTGAAAGCTATTTACCTTAGGGTCATTTCTATCTACAGTAGTCCCTTTAACACATTCTGTAGGGCTGACTTAGTCGTGGTGAAGTCTTTCAACTTTTGTTTATGTGGAAATTGTTTAATACCTGCTTCAAATGTAAATAATAATCTTGCCAGGTAGAGGATTCTTGATTGGAGGTCCTTCCATTTCAGTACATTAAGTATATCATGCCATCCCCTTGTAGTCTGTAGAGTTCCTGTTGAGAAGTCTGCTGATAGCCTGATGGGATTTCCTTTATAAGTAATCTTTTTCCTCTCTCTGGCGGCTTTCAGCACTCTCTCCTTATCCTTGATCTTTGCCAATTCAATTATTATATGCCTTGGTGGTGTCTTCCTGGGGTTCCTTTTGTTAGGGAATCTCTGTGCTTCCATGGCCTAAGTGTCTATTTCCTTCCCCAAATTGGGGAAATTTTCAACAATTATTTCTTTAAAGAGACTTTCTATTCCTTTGTCTTTCTCTTCTCCTCCTAGTACCTGTATTATGTGAATATTGTTCCATTTGGATTGGTCACACAACTCTCTTATTATTCTTTCATTCCTGGGGATCTTTTATCTCTGTTTTTCAACTTCATTGTTTTCCTGTTCCCTAATTTCTGTATCATTTACAACTTTTTCAACCTGTGATCGTCTGCTATTAAATCTGCCCATTGTATGTTTCATTTCATATACTGTATCATTCAGCTCTGAGTGGCTATTTTGGAGGTCTTCTATCTTTTTGTTGAAGTCCTCCCTGGGAGCTTGAACATTTTTATGTAGATCTGTGAGCATGTTTATGACTTTTACTTTGAACTATTTATCAAGAAGATTGGTGATTACTATTTCATTCAGCCCTCTTTCTGTTGTTTTATCTTGTTTTGTTTTGTTTTGTTTTGGAATATATTCCTCTGCCTCATCATATTGTAAGTGTCTGTGTTTCTTCCTTTGGAGTAATACTTTATGAAGGAGACACCCTCTAGTTTCCAGAAGCTCAAGACTCTTTACTTTCCAGTGTAAAAGCCCCAACTGTTGGCATTGCAGTAGGTGGGGCTGTCTTTCTGCCCAGCTTGTAGTAGTCTGATTGTAGGTGGGCAGTTTGGTTTGGCTGCACCTTTGTGGTATGCACAGAAGTCTGCTGGAATTGCTGTGGGCAGGGCCACCCTCTGCCTGGCCTGCAACAGTGGTGGGGGCTGCAGAGTTAATGGGGTGGGCAGGCTGGTGTGTGTGTCCACCCAGGCCTGTTGAGCAGGTTCTGGTGCCTGTGGGGAAGAAGGAGCTCCCAGGGCTGTCTCCTGTAGGCACCTGTAGAGCTGAGCTGAAACAGAGGCAAGAAAGCTGGGAGGGTTTCCCTCTGCCTACCTGGCAGCAAAGACTGACACCTCTGCTGGGCTCAGTGGGCCGTCAGCTGGTCACAGGTGCAGGGAGGCATCTGGGGCTTTGCTGCTGGAGTTGCTGTGTGTGGGGCTGCCCTCTCACCTGGCCTGAAGCAATGTCAGGGGCTGCAGGTGGGCAGGACCCAGTGCCTACTGGGAGGAAGGAGCTCCCAGGGCTGGGTCCCACAGGCCTCTCCCCAGCTGGGCCAAAATGGAACTAAGAAAGCTGGGAGGGCCTCCCTCTGCCTTCTCAGCAGCAAAATCTGACACTACCCTCTAGCCAAGTGGGTTGTCTACCAGCTGCATGCACCGGGAGGAGCCTCAGCGCTTCATTTCCCACATGGGGGATGTAGCATCTGGGACTCCCAAGAGTTCCCAACCTGTCGGTCTGAGGACAGTCTGGGAAAGTATCATCCACCTGCCCTTTCTCCTGAGAAGAGAGTTCCATGTAACCCTTGCCCCTCTGGGGCCCCTCCTGCTGCTGGGAAGTCTTTCAAATTGCCTACTTTGCTTTTGTCTCAGAGGGGCTAGTAGAGCTTGCCTGTTCTCCACAGTAGCTGGAATCTCAGCTTCCCAAGAATTCTGTCTGTCTGTGTTGTTCAGACCCACTAATCACCAGAGCACCATGTACTGTGAGCTCCTGTTCGTTGAGCAGATTTCCAGGGCCAGATGTTCGGTGATCCTGGGCCCCCTACCCTCTCCCCGGTTCTTTAGATAAGAACATATAAAAGAACAGCCAAAAAGTGTTGGCTCTGTTCCTTTTTCTCCCACCTGTGAGCTGGGGTTGGGGGAGGGCTTGGGTCCTGCCAGATCTTGGCTTTGCCACTTTACCCTTTTCTGTGAAGTCTTCTCTTCTTTCCCAGCTGTAGATAGTCAGTTCTGAAGTCTTCAGTTGTTTTCAGGTTTAGTTGTATTTGCTGTCTTTTCATGTTTTATTTGTTTTGGGGAGGAGGTTTCCGCCTTGCCTTCCTCCTCTGCCACCCAAAATGCTACATTTTTAAACTTTCAAAAATCACAGGAAGTCAGCCCCACTAGTATATAACAACTTGGGTCAAAACATTTGGGTCCTTACTGAATAAACTGTGAGGTTTCAATAAATTTTTGTAGAACATTTTCTATCTTAACTTCTGAATTAGATGATTTTTACATTGAAAGTAGAAACTATAATTGCATTATTCAGACTCAGGAAAGTATTAAACCTTATAATTCCCACCAATGTAATTATGAATTTAGGGAATCCTATTCAATGGCTAACTACCCAAGTGATGTTTGTATATACTCCAATGAAAAACAGGGAGCCAAATTAAATGAAGCAACCTCTTTATTTCTTGCTAAAAGGGAAATTTTTTAAAAAGCCTTTGAAAGTGTATCATTGAATTCAGTTCTACCTGAACTAAGTACATCATAAAAAATGTAATCTCTTTGTGCATATGGTAAGAAACTACACTTTTTGGCTGTTCTTTTATATGTTCTTATCTAAAATATATATTGGTAATGTTTAAACAATATTGAGCCTCTTGATGAATGCATGAATATTTTTATAAACATTAGCATAAAAATTGTTTCAGAAAGTGTAAAAATATTTCACTGGCAGTGCAACCATGAATATTTGATGAATCCCATGATTATCTCCTATCCAGAAAATCAGGAGCCCATTGCTTGTTCGCTGTAAATGGACACTGTCTCCTTGTCAGAGCCACTTCGAGCTGAAATTTCATTAGCTGAAATTTCCTCAGCCACAAAGTGGTCTAAAATTAGTAATAGTAATAAAAATGCATATTGCCAACTGTGCTATGCATTTGCTAGGGTCTAATATATATTATCTCATTTAAACTATATAGCAACTCATAAATTATCCTCTTTCACAGAAAAGGAAGCTAAAGCTCAGAAAGGTCAATTAACTTGAATATGGTCACACAGTGGGAATGTGGCACTGTCAGAGTCTTACAGATTAAATCTTTTTCTTTGTTCTTTAATGATGTAGAATTAACATTATTTTATTTGTCTTTCTTTTATTTGAAGGATTATAGATTTTCAGTTGTGTGTAATACCAAGAGAGTGCATTGTTTTCCTATTCTTATGAATATTATCAGCAATGCGCTACTTCAAATGTTTAATTGTACACAACACATCCGAATCGAAAGAGGAGTATTTCCTTTTGTAAGTATTGGATTTACTCATTCTGAACACTTAGGAATTTGACAAATAACCTGTGTTTTCCCTCTTTATCTTTTACATATTCATAACTGATTGTTAATCCTAAGAACAATTATTTTGTCCTAACATTTTAAACAGATTATATCTAAACATTTTTGTTTTTTTTTCTTGTTAAATTATCTGAGAATTCTCATAGGAAAATACTTTTCAATATTATGTCATGGTCTCCTATGGAATCTTCTGAAAAGATGTATACTTGACTGCAGAAGTCTACTGGAGAGAGTGAGAGAGAGAGAGTGTGTGTGTGTGTGTGTGTGCGTGCACGCACACGTGTGTGTGTATGTGTGTATACACTCAATTGGAAATCAGGAGCACCTGAAACCCAGCTTCACAGTCTTATAAATCTGCTATAATTTGTTGGTGTTCCCTTTATTGACGAAATAGGCTGGCTAAGCTGAAGGACAGTCTCATAGTTCATGCCTTTTGACGGATTCATTCACCTCTCTGTAGTTGCTCTACGTTGCAGGGGTGTCTGTGCCTACAGGCTGCTCTTTCAGGACTCCACTAGCTGGCTATAGGCTGTATTTAAACGGCAGATGCGATAGCACGAGCAGGAGAGCAGGCGGTCCCTGCGCTCTGAACTCCAGTCACATCATTCACCTCCTTTGTCCCTCCATCCCAGAAGTGACTGCTTTCTTGCTTCATCAGCCTGTTGACTTCTCTGCTCTTTGCACCCATGTAACCATCATGTGATTACTTTCTATTTCAAGTACTGGAGGGAATCGTGGTTTTCTGGCTAGACCCTGACTGATACCCAAGAAGGAACTCCTAAAGCTAACTCCAACTGTTTCAGACCAGGAGGTTGGGAGAGCAATAAACAGGATTAGAAATAGAACCATCAAAAAGGTCAAAAAGGGAAGCTTATTTTGTGACCAAAGGGTCAATTTCAGTTTAGCCTCATTCCACGAATGGTGCTAGAGGATGGAGTATCACTGGCAAGTCTGCAGAAGACATGATGCATCTGAGAGGCGAAGCCACCACTGACCATGAGAGCGGCGAGGTCAAGGGCACAGGTGTCTGAATGGAACACTCAGAAGGTGGAACCAACAACTGGGAGTAGAAAGAGAGAAATGTCACCTGCTCTAGGCCCTTTACTTTCCTCATTTCATTACCTGTTTGTTCAGGATCAAAACCAGGCCCCATGGTTACTCTCTTAGGCTTCCCAGTGACACACGCCTTTCTTTCATAGCCATTCTTATGAAGATGATAATGTATTCTCCCACCCAGCAAAAAATTAGAATTTATGCATGTAGCCTCCAAAGCCTTAAGTAAAGTTTGGGAATTGTAGAATTTTTTTGAAACAGGCTATTGTTCTGTTCTCCTGTAATTATATCTAAGAGGCAGCCCTATACTCTACCTGAGCATAGGTCCGGACTCAGGTAGACACTCATTTGGGGGAGTGATTTAAACTTCATCTCCTTGAAGATGGACTCGACAGCATTGAGTTTGAGGTTTGTGCTTCAAAACACATCCACCCAGCTACCTTCTTCACATAGACACCTCTAGGCTTGCTGAGAAAGATGTGCTGCTTAGGCCTGAATGTTCCATTTCTCTAGGATCTTAACTCCTGAATTATTAGTTTTTTTATTGTGGTAAACATAACAAAATTTACTTTCTTAATCAGTTTTAAGTGTACGGTTCAGTGGTGTTAGGTATACTCCCATTGTTATGAAACATATCCCCAGAACTTTTTCACCTTGCAGAACTCAAATTCTAGACCCATTAAACCAGCATGTCCAACCGCACCCACCCCCAGCCCCTAGCCATCACCATTCAACTTTCTATGACTTTGAATATTTTTGTTACCTCATGTAAGGACAATTGTATAGTATTTTTCTTTTTGTGAATGGCTTATTTCCCTGAGAATCATTTCCTCAAGTTTCATCCATGTTGTAGCATGTGACAAGATTTGCTTCATTTTAAAGGCTGAATAACAGTCCATTGTATGTATTTACTATATCTTATTTATCCTATCAGCTGTGATAGACCCTTGGGGTGCTTCCACATCTTGGATATTGTGAATCATCCTGCTATGAGCATGTATGGGCAGCTATCTCTTTTTAGCTCTTTTTTATATATTCTAAAGTGGGTCCTGAGTCATTTTCTATGTCTTTTTTTTTTTTTTTTTTAGCAATTGAAACCACATGTTAAATGATCAGAAATCATTTCCCCTTCCCACCATCGGGTATAGGTATTAATGAACTAGAAATACACTTCTGATTTTTTTCAGTATGTCAAAGAGCACATTCTTTATGATTTTTGGCATTTGTTTCATTTTTTTAAATATCCACTAGTTTGAAGTACCTCTTCTGTTTGCAGAATTATATATATTTCTCGATTGGGCTGCAGGAAGGCTCCATCTTCTTATTCTTGGTCGTGTGCAGTATGCCTCCCTACATCGCCATGGGCAGCATCAGCGATCACAAAGTAAGAAGGGTGGGGTGAGAAAAGAAGCTTCAAGACTTCAGTAATTGTATTTCAAACACTATGTGTTCAAAGTGTCCTCCTGCAAGAAAAACATATAGATAGGTTTAATTTCAATAATGTAGTTTAATGTTATTCCCATCAAGTCAGACCATTTACTTCTAAAAACAAAATATTTTTTACCTCAGAGTTACAGAAAAGTGCAATACTCTCGCAGGGACTCATATTTATCTAAGCCTTCAAATGGGAATATTCTACAATTTTCAACTACATTATTTCCTATGCAAAGGAAGAAATCATTGGTGCTGAAATTGAGGATCTGATTTAAGACTCTAATCCCCTTTTCTGCTGCAGAGAATGAAATTTGTTGTAATATCTGTATTTGGTTATGTCCATTATCCAAAGCAAAATGGTAAAATGAGATTTAGGTAAGTCACCTTTCTCCATCCGGGGCCACTAACTCTCCCAGAGCTTATTTTGATAATGGAGAATTTATTGTCCTTCAGCTCGCACAACAATATTGAGGATTAATGCCTTGGTCGTTATGAGGTCTGCTTTTCTATTCATTATGCATGGTTTGAAATGGTGATGTGAACCCAACCTATAAAATAAAACAATAATCAATTCAAAGTGGCCACATTTATGGAATTGGCTCTGGACCTCAGGCTCCTAAGCAGTATATGCATAATTAAAATTATTAGAAGACTAAAAGATGAGGTTATATGTCTTAAAATATTTTCCAATGTGTGTATTTTGGATTTGGATTTTAAGTGAATCTATGTATATCCTGTGTTTGTTTTTTTTTTTCATCAGAAAAGAGCTAAGTCCCAGCTGTGGATTTCAGGCCTCTATACTTCCGCCTACTGGCTTGGGCAAGCACTGGTGGATATTAACCTCTTCGCTTTTATTATTTTTTCAATGTATTTAATTTTCTACATAGCAAACAGAGCACACACTTACGTCACAAGTCGAATGGTGTTCGCTTTGGTAAGTAGCACATTGCAATAACCAGTATCTTATGAAGTAATTTAGGATAAATTTTAACATTGGATAGTCTATGTAATGAAGATATGTTCATCTTTATTTTGTCATAAACTAAAACAAGGAATCATGCAAAGTGCATATGCAAAAGATGTTTTAAAAAACACTCTTAATTTAATTTTCCCTCAGTCAATATTTCTTTTTTGCTCTGGTATCTGTATTCTCTTCAGGTCGTAGTGACGTTCGGTTATGCAGCATCTCTGGTTTTCTTGACGTATGTGATATCATTTATTTTTCGCAAGAGGAGAAAATATTGTAGCCTTTGGTCATTTTGCTTCTATATTGTAAGTACTTATATAAACATGTAAATTGGGAGATAGAGTTCTCTTTTAAACTTTCAATGTAGCATTAAATATATTCACTTTTGCCTTGAGCAGTGGGGAAAATTAATACCTTAAAACTGTACACAGAAAAGAGAGGGACTGTGATATGTCACTGATTCAATGATGTTTCTGAAGAATCATGTGCAACTCTCTGAGTGAAGTTTAGGGAGAACTTTACAGGAGACCTAAAGTTCAAGATGCTACTATTGATGACTCTTCAAGATGACTATTCTTCAGAATACAGGGATTCCTGGCAATAATAAGAGTAAAAATCAGCTTTATAACATTTGACAATACAATGCATTTCTGCAGTCTTCCCAGATGGCCTTGCTTAACTTCAATGCTAATAATTTCAGAGACTGAAGATGTTTTTATACCTATGCCAGATAACTTATTAATAAATATGAATGAAAGATTACCAAAAGTCCAAGATTACTGAAAACCAGGATGGAAATGTTTACCAAGGCCCTGGAGACCCAGAGTGAATCCCAGCACTTTAGCTGATGTTCCCAACCAGTGGTTGGATATCTGCCTTGCAGACACAGCTCCCAGTTCTTGAAGTGGGAATCCTGAAACCACGAGAAGAATCCAGGCAAAGACTATATGCTATGAAAAAACATCTGACATCACCCACTGACTTCTCTAAGAAATTAGCCTTGGACTGTCCTGGTTAGCAGGGAGCTATTCACTTACCCCTTCTCAGTGGACAACATTCTGATTTGGCTTCTCTAGATTGTACTTTTTGGTATTCAGCAGGTAGTGTCTATTTTTTATCATCCCTCTTACCATCTCGGGAAAACTCAGTCCAAGTAAGAATTTATAGGAAAAACTATAGCCATACCTCACTTGGAAGACTGGCTTTAGGGAGTCATGCAGATATACCAAAAGTCTTTCCATTCATACTTTGTATGGAAACATTTTTGTGCAGTCAACAGACCTACTGCCTTTACCCAGTGTAAACCCAAATGCTGATTAATCAGTACGGATGTCGGTAGAAGAGAATCTAATAGTCATTTCTTTTCAGTCAGCACTCATGTATGTCCAGCATAGGGAAACAAAGAATTGGTGTCTACACTTTTCTGTAGTTTCAACTCTGAATAAAGTCTTTTTTGGAGTTGATGGTCAAGTGATGTCAGGATTATTGGCTAATATGGCTGTGACAGTTCGGTTACTGCCAGCCTGAGTGAGGCTTGGAATTTGCTGATGAGCCTCTGGGAGACAGTTCTGCTCTTTGGTCCTTAGTGATCAGCAGCCTGGAGTCACGGTCCCTTCGTTACGGCATTTCCCACTCTTGTGTTGCCTCTCCTTGAACAGGAACCATTCCAGACTGGGACAAACGCATGTCTAGATGAAGGCATTTTTGCTATGTGTCAAGTGAAAAACCAGCCCCTTATTTATTGTGCAACTCCTCCCAGTTTGTGCCTGTTTGACGATCTCTCAGAGGTGGGAGCGCTCGGCGGCAGCGGGATGGCGGTGCCTCAGCTTTCAGTGGAGCAGCCGAGCAGGGCGGCCAGTCTTCCCGTGGAAGCAGCTCTGTAGTGATGCTTTGGGTTGGAAAAAATTGTGCATGGGAATTTCTCAGCTAAGGTCTAGGACTTCAAAGTGCATCAGTTCCACAGAACACGGCAGACCTTCCAGAACTTGCTAACAGCACAGTCAGCTGGACCAATAACTAACTTTCATCTCTTGGCTTAGGGGGCAGGGACCACCCTCCCTAATGTGATATGAACAAATAAAGGAGCAGAGCAGAGAGCCCAACATGTGACTCTGAAACACTGTGTTTTTAAAACGGAAATATATCTGACATGTTGGGTACCCTTTTTCCTTTGCCGCCAACTATTTTTTTATGGATTAATATTTTTATTAGAGCATACACACAGAATTTTCTCTGAGATGCATATTTTTTTCAAGGTTTCTTTTTAGAAACTCTGCATGTAAATCCAAGTGGCTATTATGATCTGACTTTTTTTAGTTGATATACAATCTTATATTAGCTTTAAGTATATAGCACAGTGGTTCAACAGTTACCATATTACTAAATCCTTCGGCTCCACTAGTATAGCTACTGTATTTTTGAATTCTTATGGATTAAAATAAGACAAGGCAGTATAGCAGGGGCAAAGTAGATTTTGTAAAACAAAAATTTCTGTGTTCAAAATATAAAAAAAAATCACACTGTATAATAATAAGACCAAGAGGAGTCAGCTGAGTGGACTAAAGGACTTATTGTTATAAAAAATAAGGAGAAAAAATAGAACAATGTTATGTCATGGAGACTAAGAGATGAGAAACATATAAATGTGAACACTCGTGCATTACCTTTGTAGAGAGATTGTGGTGGTTGTAAAATGAGAAAATTTTATCATCTAAAATGTTAATTGTGCTTTTACTGAATACTTGATTAGAAGTTATTAGATTCTGTTCCCAATCATTTTTGATATGAAGATTACATATTCCCCCACACTATGAATTCATTTAGTAGTGAAACAATTTTCCCTTATACAGCAAGCCCTCCAATAGTATACTTACTGGCATAAGGAATGCCTTAGGAATCACCCACGTAAAGTTTTGAATCCCAGCTTTGTCACTTACTAAGTTTGTGGTCTTGAGGGTGTTATTTAACAACTCTGGGCCCTATATTCCCCCATATGTAAAGAGAGGTGTAATAGGAACACCCACATTATAGAATTGCTGTGAGGATTAAAATAAGCAACTCATGCTCAGTTCTTAATGGTTGGCACATGTGAAATATTCAGTGAATTTAGTAGTTATTATTCTTACCACCTTTATTATAATTCATACATTAATGAGACCCAGTGAAGGTTCCATACAGTGCTCAGTACACACTTGGTGACTGATAAACTGATCCTTAAAACAGAAAAATACAAAATTACATTTATCCCTTCATCTCACAGTTACAGTATTCTTAAAGAAAATGGGCCCATTACAATCAAAATGAACAATCTCAGAAAAATGATTTGTTAGGAGTGGGGAAGATATGAAGCAGGGATGACAGTTAGAAAGCTGTAGTCTAGGTGTGGGGCAATAAGGACTTTTTAAAATAACTGTCCATATAACTTTCTAATGTGTGTAGGTTTTTATACTGCAACAATGGTGTTTCCTTGGCTAACTTCTCTCTTCATCCTACTGTCTTAGATTGTAACTAATGCACTCTCATGAAGTCTGTTTGGTCGTTTTAGCTTTCACCTTAATCTCCAGATTTTTTCCCTTTCAGGGAGCTAAAGGTTCATACATATTCTCATTAACAAAAGCTCATCCTTTCTCTTCTCCCTCTGAAAGGGGTGAATCTGCATATGATAAAATTCTGTTATATAGGGTGAGAACACCTACATCTAACATTTTCTCTACTGTCAGTGGACTGAGTAGATCTGACATGCAATACATTTCAATTTGCCTTGTAGACCACCACCATCATGCTTGAGATCACAGTACATCACCGTGACTTACAGACCATGTTTTCTGGCATGATATTTGTTCCCTCTTCTACCTTGGCTGGATTTCTAACTTTTTTGGCATGGGTAAGAAATATTACCAACTGTGTCACTAATATTGAATATGCACCCTATTAAAGTTTTCTGCCTAATCAGTAAAGGTTGACAGTAGGCTGGTAGTTTCCTGGATGGGAATGGGGGTGACTGCTATTGCATACCAAGTATCTTTTTGGAGTAATGGAAATGTTCTTAAGTTGTATTGTGGTGATGTTCTCACAACTCTGTAAATTTGCTACAACTCCTTGAATTGTACACTTACAATGTGTGAGTTTTTTTGGCATGAAAATGTAACACCAGTAAAGCTATTTAAGAAGCATTGCCATTCGCACTTTGCAAAACATAAGCATTGTCAAACACTATTCAAAAGTAATGCAAGATTGGCCATTGCCTCATTTAATGGGTATTCCTTATCCAGTGTGAGGATAAACTCATGTACAATACCATTCATTCATTCAGAAATATGTATCAAACACTATTCTGTGTTCATGTTAAGGCACAGCTACTAACTAGGAACACCTGAGAAGAGGGCAACCCAATGCCTCCTTTCACAGAGCTCAGTGGAGACAATGTCCAACTGAATCCAGTCAATGCAAAGGGTCAGAGGTTACAAAGGAGAGGGGCAGGGTGCCAAGGGTAAGATAGGAAGCACAGCTGTTTTGCTGTGGAAAGCCAGAGAACTTTTCTGAGGGAAGCAGTGTTCAAACAGAGTCCTGAAGAATGAGTAAAAATTGATTAGTGGGAGAGTGGAGCCGGAGGTAAGCATGTTCTGTAGAGTGAAGCAAATGCACTGAAGCAGGAGAGACCAGGAGGCATTAAAGAAACTGAATGTGATTCAGATAGAAAGACGTGAATGATGAGATGAGCAGAATAGCTCTGTCAGGAACATACTTGGTAAGTCCCTGAAAAAATCCTGGATGAAAGTTCAAATATAGAGCTTCACTAATCATTTGTCTTGGGGGCTGGGGAAAGTCTTTCATCTGCAAAAACGTTTTCCATTGGCTAAGCAATGTCTGGAATTCTCAATTGAAAATTCATTCCTTTGCTTACAACATTCTATCTCCTAAAATGCAAGTAGAACTGCAAGGTGAACTACAATAACCTAGAACCCAAATTATTTAGGAGGAGGGAGTGACTTTCTGAATACATTCGTTGAAGAAGAAAGAATAATAATGTGACTTATTATTTGGTGGGAAACAGTCACCATTAGAGGAAGGGGTCTTAGAAAAGCTTAGGAGAGGCATTTAGCACAAATATTGTCAATCTCTAGAATTTTTCACAATGCAGGCACCTCTCTCTGTTACACTTTCCTTAGCCTTTCAGCAAACATTAAAGCAAAAGATTTAAAAGAAATCATTGGAAGGGAGGAACACACAGAAGTTAGCTGCTCATTGAGAAACAGTGAGAGCTGAGTAGGGGGCGCCCCCTCTTCTCTGCAGGGAAATGCTTGTCTCCAGCGAGCATGGGGGAATCTAGTTAATAAGGGAAGTATCCAAATGTGCAATTCCATATTATTTAAGTGCAAATCAGAGAGCTGATGATTCTGTTTAGCCATTTTTTTTGTCTTTGCAGAGAATCCACAGCTCCGCAAAATACGAAGACCCAAATTACGACCTGAGAGAAGCTGACTTTCTAGTGTGCCTGATAGTAAGAAGGCCTTCCTTCACCATCACCTACTTTTCGCATAGTTATCATTTATTACAGTAACCATTTGATCTTCTCTAATGGGTGCCCGCTTTGAAAACATTTCGTATAGTCTTAGAATAAGCAGTTATCTTCAGGCGTGATCCTAATTCCTGGAGCTATTTTTATATGCATGAATGGACTCTCTAAGTCCCGAGTTCAATATAAAATTAGTTTTTCATGTTTATTGATCCTCTTTACTTCCCCCTCCAAATTGGAGAGTGCTTGTAAAAAATGCAGATGTGATGTAACTCAAATCCTTTGAATTGGAGATAAAAAGGCCAAAGTTGAATAATAAAAGGAAGGGGAAACATCATTGCATTGGTATATTTAAGCTGAAGAAGACTACTGTCTTTGAATACAATGTGCCAGTACTTTTCTAGGCTTAAGAACAAATACAGACAGAAGTCCCTGCCCTCGTCAAGTTTATATTTTGGTTGGAGGGGACAGATACTAAGCTAAATAAATACTGTATGCAGGTGGTCAGGAATACTGTATACAGGTGGCCTGGCTAAGAAATAAAGATCCGAAGGAGGCAAGGAAGTGAACAGGAGGTAGAGTTCAGGGAAGAGCATTCCAGAAGGCGGGGACAAGAGTGACACTGGTGTGTTCCAGGGTCAGCCAGGTGACCAGTACGGTGTGGCACAGTGACCAGTGGGGAGAGAGGTATGGAGCAGGTCACAGGCGGAATGGGGTAAAGTGTGAGGTGGGCAGGAGGGGTCACGCAGAGCCCTCTGGGTCACTGCAAAGACTGACTTTTCTTTGAATAATCAAGGAGTCACTGGAGGGTTTTAAGCAAAGCGAAGTGATCAGACTTGACGTTTTAAAAGAGTAGCTTTAGTTATTGTGTTGAGAATAGATGTTTGAGTCACAGGAGGAGAGGGAGACCAGGTTTCAAGATGTTGCAATACTATAGTGAGAAATTATAATGAGCTGGACCTGGTGGGAGTGGCACAGTAGTGGGTGAAAGTGAGTGGGCACAGGGTGAAAGTAGTTGGGTCCTGGTGATTCGGAAGTAGGGGAGATAGAATTTGCTGACAGACCAGATGTGAATCGTGAGGGCAAGAAAGAAGGCAGGTTCGCTAAGCTGGACGGTCACTGTACATCTGACTGTCACTGTGGAGCTAGATTTCCCCCCCTGATTTATAGGAATGATTCACATTTATTTTACCTGAAGACAAAAGGCCACCAATTAAATTCAAATGTTCAAATCATATTTGTGAACTTAGGCCTAAATATAACTATTATTTTTATTTTCTTTTTTGCTCTTAGCCTTACTTCCAGGCTTTGCTGTTTCTTTTTGTTCTAAGATGCATGGAAACAAAGTATGGAAAGAATATAATGCGGAAGGATCCTATTTTCAGGTTGGGATAAAACTTAATTTTGTACTTATTATTGTGTTTTCATAGTCCCAGATAGGGGCCTCACCATCAACCTGTTAATACGGCTGTATATTTACAATTTAGACAGTGTGCTGATTTTCTTGACGGCCAGAGGATTGCTGGCTGACTGCCAGGAAATAGGGCGCTCAGGAAGGGTTCTGCCTCTACCCAGCTGAGGAAAAGTTTTCAGCCCCTCAAAAATTTGATGAGCACTCGAACATGCCATTCTCCCAGCCGTGACTAGTGGTCACCCTTGAACAGGAGAGATGGGGCAGAACTGGTCTGGCAGCATCACTCAGAATGCGAATCCTAACGGGTGTCGAGGCAAATGTCAGGTGTGATGAAGATGGGCTCAGAGGGAACGGAGAGAGAGCAGGTGACCTGATTTTGAAAGAAGTGGCAGTACCTGCCAGCAAATTTGAAAGTATCAAAGATTCTAACTGTGGAAAGAATGGAAGTAATACCCAAAGGGATCTGGCTACCGGGATGGGGGTTCTCAGGAAAAGCAGCATTGTTCCCAGGGCGTCATTAGCCCAGCTCATTGAAAGAAAGGCCTGTGGTAGAATCACAGAGAAGCCGGCTTGGGTACATCGTGAGCAACTAGAAAATGTCATACATTTCTTTTTTTTCCATAGAATTTCCCCCCAAAGTAGAGATGCTCGAGCAAACCCAGAAGAACCTGTCGATGAAGATGAAGATGTCCAGGCAGAGAGAATCAGAGCAGCGACAGCGCTGGCCACGGCGAGCTCCGAGGAGGTAGAAAAGCCGGTGACAAAGGGGGTGGTCGTGGAACTAGGCAAGAACTACCAAGAATAGAGGCTGATATGCTGGTTTTCCTTTTGAAAGTTTGGAGTCTGATGCATTTTCATAATTCTTAAAGATGCAAACCCTTCTTTGTAGTGTCCTGGAAACAGAAAGAACAATACCAAATGTAATGGTTTTATTCTTCTTTTGAGAGGAATGGGCTTTGATACGTAGAGCTGCAATTTCCAAACCAAAAATTTCCTAAGTCGAGGAATTTACATGAGATTTGCTATAAAAATGCTAAGTAGAAATTGAGCTTTTAAAGGTTATTTACTCTTTTATTTGACTTAGATGTTGTGATGTTTCCATGAGCTTAGACATTTCTGTTCCGAAAGGCAGTGAGTTATCTCAGTCCCTTTAGAAGTAAGGAATATCGTTAGCATCGATGCCTGTTACATTTGAAACAAGCAATGTGGAATACTTAACTGAAAACATGGTTTGGTTAATGACGTAGGGCAAGGACAGCTCCAGTAGGGAGAACACAGGAACGTACAGTCTCTGAAGTTTAACAGGAAAATCATGCCATCATCTATTCCAGAAACCTGTTATAATCGCTAGCTGCCTACACAAAGAATATGCAGGCCCGAAGAAAACTTGCTTTTCAAAGAGGAAGAAGAAAATAGCACCAAGAAATATCTCCTTCTGTGTTAAAAAAGGTTTGGAAGAATCACTTTTTTATTCACCATTATTTGTAGAAATACCTGTTGAACGTCTCTATTACAGGCCCTGTGGTACTTGCTGAATGATGCACTCATGTCATTCATTCAAGATACATTTTTTGAGTGTGCCAGAAATGATTTAAGCTCTGAATATAGTTATGAAAGAAATAGGCAAGTTCCTGTTCTCAAGGACTTTACTTACTCAGAGGGTCAGGAAGCAAAAATAACTTATCAAGAAAAGTATCAGATATCACACAAGCGCACTCTGTAGGAAGCGCTCAAATATGTGAAAGGACATGAGTGTTTGGGGCTTATGAGGGTTCACTTAGGGCTAGGGGAGACCCCCCTTTAGCGGTAACATTTAAGCCAAGATCTTGGTGATGAGGTGCCAGCCACATGAGCATGGGGAGATGACAGCCTCTCAGACAGAGCAAACACTGAGGTGGGGACTCAGACATGAGAATGCCTTTGGACTGGCTGAGGCACAAAGCAGCAGTGTATGCATCTGCGGATGTAAGGGATGAAGTCAGAGGTGAGTGGGGCCAGATTAGGTACAATTTTGGATATATAAATACAGCAAATCTTTAGGTTCATGCCCAGTTAGTGGAATGCATTGGAAGGGTTTTTAGCTCGCTTTTTCTTACCATGTAATTTACATTTTATTTACACAATGGCTATTGTTTGTTCATGAATTTGGGTGGCAGACAAAGTTAGAGGCTTTTCTATCAGTTCATATGAGAGTTGATCGTGACTCAGACACTGGTGGTGGAATTTGGGATGGAGAAAATATCCCTGACTTCCTAAGTTTAGAAATCACTTACACGAGTACTCAGCACATTAACCATTTACCATTGAAAACAATCTAGGTACGTTTTTAGCTGGAAAAATAATCTGAAGGAAAGAAAGACAGATGTATTGATGTCAAATCCATTAACTTTTCAGTAGTATTATATGTAATTATAAGAGTTAACATATTTTGGTGACATGGATTACCTATATGTTATAAATTTCAAAATGGTCCTAAAGGGTACACATAGCTCAGGTTATTGAAGAAACCGGCTTATGTTAATATTTCATTTCCAATACTGATAGTCAGTGATTCTCTTTCAGGTGAAATTTTGGGATTGCTGGGACCCAATGGTGCTGGTAAAACTTCATCTATTAGAATGATATCTGGGCTCATGAAGCCAACGGCTGGAAAGGTAGTAAAAAATAAGCAACAGTTTCCATTCCCAAAATAAAATTTTCATGATATATGCAAGCCATATCTTTGCAAGACTATACTCTTAGTAGTTTAAGTTGTTTTCTATAATAAATGTATTAAATAATTTCTATAACATTTCTCTGATGCTCAAAGAACCTAGGCATTTATGACCTATATGTCAGTTTCTTGAGTAATTGCATGATTGGAGGAAAGGCTATGTGTGTTTCTAAAGCCAGTTCGCTTTCTTAGGTGGAACTGAAAGGATGTGGTTCAGTTGGGGATCATCAAGGGGACGGCGTGATCAGGTTCCTGGGCTACTGTCCTCAGGAGAACGCGCTGTGGCCCCGCCTGACAGTGAGGGAACATTTGGAGGTGTTTGCCGCCGTGAAGGGGATGAGGAAGGCGGACACCACTATCACCATCTCAAGGTACAGATAAGTCATGTGATTCCTCTGGGTCAAGAGGCAGGGAGGCTGCATGGTTGATGGTGAATTCACTAATGAGAGTGGCGTGTCAGTGGTAGAACAGGGATGGAGAACAGGAGCTGTCTCCTAGGTCCCCGCTGAAGAGATCTTTAAGAGAAATAACTGCATAAAATAATTGGCAATGTTAAGTGAATGATAATCATCAATACTCATTCATCTCAGTTCCAAAATCAGAATTCTAGTTATTTTCTTAAAAACTTTTTGTAAGATGAAACATCTTCCATATCTAAAACAAACTGCTTTTGTTCTTTGATCCTGGGAGTTAGAATTTTGAGAATAATACTGCTTCTCTCCAAGGCTGTTATTCTTCCATGTGATTGCAGTTTCTCAAAATACTCTCTCGATCTGATGTGCTCATCCTGTTTTCACCAGATTGGTGGATGCTTTCAAACTGTGTGAACAGTTGAATGTTCCAGTACAGAAACTAACAGCAGGAGCCAAAAGAAAGGTATGTGTGGTGTGTGGTGTTATTCTGAGGACTGACGTGGTAGTGGTGGCAAATCGAGGTGTTTCTCTGCATTTCAGCTGTGTGTTATGCTGAGCATCCTGGGAAATTCACCTATCCTGCTTCTGGATGAACCGTCTTCAGGCATGGATCCAACCGGGCAGCAGCAGATGTGGTGAGAAGCACCGGAACACTCGAGCCAGGAGCGATAACCTCAGGGAAAAGCTGCACTTTTTGAGCATGAAAAATCAAATCCACTGGTTTCTGCTTTAGTGGAAATAATTCATATTATTAGGAAAACAAATATTTAACAAGCAGACTCTCTAATGTTGTACCCTATTCATGTGATATTCACATTTTAAAGAAACAACAACCATGTTGTTAGTTTTAGGTCTTGCAAGCTGGAGTGTAATTTAATTTTGTCTATGAATTATTAGATGTCTATAGCTGTTTCCTAGAAACCATTAATTTACCACCAGATTTTCCCCATTTCCCCTTTTAACCCTTTCACCAAAGTTGTCAAATTTGCTTATGTATTTTTTCTTAATTTTTAAAAAACTCTATTTTTCTTATGGCTGAATAATATTCCATTGTGTATATGTACCACATCTTCTTTATCCATTCATCTACTGATGGACACTTAAGGTTGCTTCCATTTCTTGGCTATTGTAAATAGTGCTGCGATAAACATAGGGGTGCATCTGTCTTTTTCAAACTGGGCTCCTGCATTCTTAGGGTAAATTCCTAGGAGTGGAATTCCTGGGTCAAATGGTTTTTCTATTTTTAGTTTTTTGAGGAACCTCCATACTGCTTTCCACAATGGTTGAACTAATTTGCATTCCCACCAGCAGTGTAGGAGGGTTCCCCTTTCTCCGCAACCTCACCAACATTTGTTGTCGTTTGCCTTTTGGATGGCAGCCATCCTTACTAGTGTGAGGTGATATCTCATTGTGGTTTTAATTTGCATTTCCTTGATGATAAGCGATGTGGAGCATCTTTTCATGTGTCTGTTGGCCATCTGAATTTCTTCTTTGGAGAAGTGTCTGTTCAGCTCCTCTGACCATTTTTTTCCATCTATGACTTTGCACTTGGGTCAATAAAATTCTCCAATCTAGTTTCATGTTTGTGATTGTCTGATATTTTCCAAGCTTTTTAAAAGAACTGAGTTATGAAAACTTGATACAAATGTAGACAGAATCACTTATGAGCCGATTATACCCATCACCCCATTTCAAGTTACCAAAATAAGATCAAGGTATTCTTCTCGTATACCTCTGCCCACTTCCTTTCCCCACTCTCCAGTTACAATGAAGCAGATACCAGGCAGCATATCCTTTATTTATAAATATTCAGTTAGTATATCCAAAAGATATGAAGCTTTCTTTATTTTTTATTTTTAACTTACCAGAACACAAATAGCATACCTAAAAATATTAAAAACTTTTCCTTATGTATCAAGAACCTAGTCAGTGTTCACATTTCCCTGTTTTGTTTGAATTAGGTCCTAATAGGATTCATAAATTGTATTTTATCTATAAAACTCCCCTTCCATCTCTCTTTTTCTACCCTTCTTTTTAATGGAACTTTTTTGGCTTGCTTCAGGAAGATGATCCAGGCAGCCATTAAAAACACAGAGAAGGGGGCGATCCTGATCACCCATTACCTGGCCGAGGCCGAGGCCGTTTGTGACCGTGTTGCCATCTTGGTGTCCGGAAGGCTGAGGTGGGTGTCTCCCCAGAGCCTGCACCTGACCCCTCATGTTGGATTGATTCCCTGTGAGAAGGGAAAATCGCTGTGGGCCACCGGAGTTCTTCCTTCCTGCCCCCTCAGGGAGGCCCTTTCCCTTACATGTGGAATTTAAAAATAATGTAAGAAGTTGAAGGCTCACCATTTTCCAACATGTTTTCCTTCTTGCCCATAGGTGCATCGGCTCCATCCAACATCTGAAAAGCAAACTTGGTGAAGATTACATTCTAGAACTAAAAGTGAAGGACCCTTCTCAAGTGCCTTTGGTCCATGCTGAGATTCTGAAGCTTTTTCCACAGGCTGCACAGCAGGAGAGGTAAAAGGAATTTCTGATTGTGGAGAAACCTGTAGGCTTTTCCCATTCAGTGGTTCCTTTTCTGCTCTGTGAGAGATTGCTTCATAATGAAAAATCAGGGGCCTCAAAAACTGATGTATTGAGTCGTCTAGATTATAAGAGATTTGGGAGTCCCTTAGGAATCCATGACCCTCAGGAAGGCCTGGGGACACCCTACATGGGCCTCCTTGGCCACCAAGGCTGGGCCCCAGTCCAGAGTGGGACCTGGAGGCCAGGCAGAAGGAACTTCTGATGACTGTAACCCACACTTGACTGCAGCCGGGGTGTTGGTACCTTCCCTGGGCCTCCCTGAACATGCTTAAAAGATGTAGGTATTTACAGTGTAAAGGACGGAACTAACCCCCTTAAAGGGAACAAACAGCAATTGAGCTAACTGAACAGTCTCCCTTTAATGGAGTTTTTCATGCCTCAAAATGGAGCTGGAAAGGCATATGTGTGTGCGTGTGTGTGTGTGTGTGTGTGTTTGCGTATGTCTCTGTGCGACTGGGGGGAGGGCAAGAACGTGGAGCAGGAGCTGCTTCTGAAATTCCCTGGAGGGATAATCACACCAAAGTAGCAGGGCATAACAACTGCTATTTCCGCTGTAGCACATAGATGTGCTGCAAGTATCACAGGCCTATGCCAGGGCATGTAACTCAGTCCTGTTCCCACAGCCCTGGTGTCACAAATCTGAGATGTGGTTTTGACACAGGTGGGAAGGTCTTGGACGGTAATACTGGATGAGCAGGGGCTGGGCTGTCAAGGGCCGGCCCTGGAGGTCTGGGCAGCATTAGGGCCACCTGAAAACATCAAATTTCTGTTTGGGAACGAGTTGAGAATGGGGCATGAGGTCATCCAGGTAGAAGTAGCTTGTGGAAACAAAACTGCCAAAAATCAGTTCTGGCTGTTCCCCACCTCAAGGTCAGGTAAGTTTTTAGTGAAAGACTTGACTCTCTCTACTTTATGTCCCTCTCTGTCAAACTCCTATCTCTTTTTCCCTACGTTTCGGTTGACTAGGATGAAATGTTAAGTTGGAATTCATTCCGACCTAATTTGAACCATCAGAAGGATTAGTTCAGAATATCTGTGTTCAACAAGAAAACGGTTAAAGGTTTGCATAATCTGAGCATAAATGACCCAGTGAGGCTGGATTATTTCTAGGACAACTACCTCTAACAGCCAGCTACCAAAGCCCATTTTAAGAATTGTCCATTTATAAATTATTTTATTTATTTCATCTGGAAACTATATTCTAATTTACATTTCTTTAATTTTGCTTATTTGAAAAAATTGTTTTCAGGTTCTCTTCTCATTAAAATATAATTGACATATAATATTATATTAGCTTCAGATGTACAGCACAGTGATTCAACAATTGCATTTTTTTTTAAAAAAAAGGAAATTGCTGTTAACACCAGTATTTATTTTGATGGTCATTTTGTCCCCTTGAGACTCAAGGTCAAACATGACGCTTTCCTATTCCCAGGTATTCCTCCTTCATGGCCTATAAACTCCCTGTGGTGGATGTTCGCCCTGTCTCTCTGGCCTTTCACAAATTAGAGGCAGGTAAGAATTACCATTTTAAAATGACACTTTTGGAACATGATTTCAGACTTAGCTAATAATTTAATGGTAGGTAATTGTGTAATAAACTTAAAAAATATGTAAATACTTCATGATTTTAAGAATTTCTAATGGTACATAATGGTGGGATTTAATCCCATCTATGGTCAACTAAGATTCTCTCTGGAAAGAGGTTAATCTCTGGTGCAGAAAACATAAGTCATACTTAACTGGGTTACTGTGAATTCACGACACGCTCCTCAGAGAGCCCCTGGGCGCAGCCTGCTTTGCCGTTTCTACACAGCCCATTCCTACCAAGTGTCCTGACCCATGACATCTCTCCTCTTTCCTTCCATAGACATTTCCTTCCTGCTTTTCTGCCAGAGTTGGAACCCTTGCTTATATTTCACTAATAAAATAAAAGCAACAGAAAACCTCCCACTGCTCCATCGGCCGCCTGTCTGTGCTTTGTTCTGCCCTCCTGTTGCCGTGAATGAACTGCCAGTGTCTCTGGCTGTCCGCTGTGCCGGGCATAGCTCCTCTGCCACTTGGAATTGTCCATTCCCTCTCTACGACATGATTTTTTCTGCTTTCTACTGGGACATTCCCAACAGCTGACCATCATGGAGTAACTTCCCAACACAGCACAGTGGTGAAGAGCTCAACCGCTCGTGCCGGTCCCTCTGGGTTCCCACCCAGCGCTGCCGCTTTCCAGCTAGTAAGCTGCTTACTCCCTTCATGTCTCGATGCTCATCTCTGAAATGAGGGACAACATCAGTGCCCGGTTGGCAGGGCTGTTAAGAGGATTAATGAGTCTACTTGTGAAGTGCCTAGAACAGTGCCTGGCTCATCGCGTTTAGGATGATACAAGTCTCCAGTTTGCTGCTTCCACTCCAGACACCTGCTCACTTCCTGCTCTCCCTGAATGCTCCCAGACACGCACCCTCCTGCCTCAGGACCTTGCACTTGCTAATCCTCTTCCTGGAATTCCTTTCTTAAATATCCTGGGTGGTTTTATAAGTTTCTTCTCAGTTATTACCTGATTACTGTGACCTTCCCCAAACATCCTGTAAAATGGGTGCCTAGCACTTCCTATGTCCTTTACGTTTACTTTTCTCTCCATAGCAGTTATCATTATTTACTTTTTAATATATTTAAATGCTTATTTTTTTAATGACTATATTCCTCCCACAAGAATACAGAGTGCACAAAGGTAGGGGTTTTGTTTATGCTGTTTTAGTCATTTCTCTGTCCCTGGCACTTGAGGGTGGCTCACTCTATAAAAGTCTCAGGGTTTAACAGTGAACGTGAACACATGAATATGTGATCTGGTGACCAGTCTCAGCAGATTTCCTTGTGGGAAGCACAGCAGAGAGCCGGCACAGCAGAGGAACTGGCTGTAGCAGTTGCAGAGAAGTACTGGGTCCCTTTAAAGGGAACTGAAATCTTCCTCACATTTAAGAATATAACAATCAATCATGTAGATCTGCAAGAAACTTATGTGTCTTGCCATACATCAAAATGTAACATGAGAAAATTCTAATATCAAGGATAATTTAATATGCATTTGTATTAACCCTATGACTTTTCATTATTCCATTCTTTCATCAAACTTTTGTTTATTCAATTTTGCATTCCATTTATATTGATTTGCATTTTTCTTTTGTATGGCTTTGAAAAAATTATTGGTAACAAATTATAAGCATCTACTACCAGCCTTCTTATCTTTCAGTGAAACAAAACTTTAACCTGGAAGAATATAGCCTCTCTCAGTGCACATTGGAAAAGGTGAGTCAGCTCCTATGGTTTTGCATCATCCCTGCAAATGTCACATGAATGTAACCTGCATTTTTCCTATTTATGTGTAAGACAATCAGCAACTTGATAATCCTTTTTCCTTTGCTTTGTCACCTATGTAGGTATTCTTAGAACTTTCTAAAGAGCAAGAGCTGGGAAACCTTGATGAAGAAGTTGATACATCCATGAGATGGAAACTCCTCCCTCATTCAGACGGCCCTTAAAACCTCAACCTATTCACTTTTTGTCAATGCCAATGTGTATAATTTTAAAAATCATTGATATCAATATTAGTAATATTTCATATGTTTAGTTAATAAACAAATAAATTGTACAATGATGCTTCCCCTTAAATTTAAGGATGATAGAAAATCTGTGATAAAGTCAATACAAAGTATTAAAAAATCATCTAAAGAACCAGGCACAGGGTATTGTGGAAATAAAACCACAAGCTCAGAAGGTTTTTGAAATAGAAATTTTTGGAAATACGACATTTAGTAAAAAAATGTTCTTGCTGAAATATGTAAGGGAGGCTGCATGATTGCATGTACCAGTTTGTGAGAGCTCAGATTTATGAGTTCCCTTTATATACAAGTACCACCCGAGGAGTCTTTCCCTGAAACTTTGTCAGAAATTGCCTTGAAATTCAGAGTGAGCAGTCCCTTGGACTCACATATTAACAAGCACATGTTTTGGGAAAGCAGCTTAAATGTACCTTTTGAAAACAAGGGGAGTTGCAGCAGCATTTGTTCATATTTTTAAAATTTTGAATATGTTCTATTAAGTTGTTATGGTGGTGGGGGTGTGCTGATTTCCCTCAGCGCCTCATCAGTAGCTTTCTGTGTCTTTACTGCTATTTTAAGGTTGCTTCCCTTTTATATACATATGTGTACCTGTGTGTATCTCTCTACATACATGTGCACTTATCTTTTGTATTACTCAATTTAAAAATATCAGCTTTACATGTTATTTTATATTTTTCCTTAGACAAGAGCTATCTCATTCTGAATATCGCCAGAAAATTTTTGAAGACCAAGCAATATTTCAGATGCTTCTTTTTTTTTGGTGATATGTCGAGTAACTTAAATTGCTGTTATGCTCACTGAAGAAAATTTGTATAATGGAGAAAAATGTGGAAACTGATAAAATTGAATAAAAGAATCACCATAATTTCTCTATACCAAAAAAATTTTCAATTATTTCCTTTTCTCTTTAGTTCATTTCTTACTTAGTTGGAATCATTTTAGTACATATAGTTTCCTAATTAGATGTATATGCATATTTGCAGATATAACATCAAGATTGTTTTAATTGACTTTTAAATTTATGGTGAGGTTGCAGCTTTGTGAATTTGCATTTTATTTTGTGTTAATTATTTGTATTCTTTATTTTTGTACTTTCATGTTCTTATCCATTTTACAAGCTTTTTATATAATTAAATATTTTATCTGTATATTTTATGTACACCATGATTATATCAGGAGCATTGTATTTCTATATCTGTGATTGATGATCTAGAGTTTACTCTTTATTCAGGAGCCTTCAGTGACCTATAAAATTAATTCATATTATAGTAAGAGTTGAAATTAAATTATTTTTGAAACTCAAGAAATACATTGCCTTGCACAAATGTATAACATCACAACATATATAACCATTTTACATAATAACATGATGAAATCTTTGCTTGTATTCTTTATAATTTTCTTAACTTTAAAACTGTTACAAAGTTATGCTTGCCTCATAGAATGAGTTTGGAAATATTCCCTCCTTTTTTACTTTTTGGAAAACTTTAAGGAGGATGGGTGTTATGTCTTCTCTAAATGTTTGATAAAATTCAGCAGTGAAGCCATCTGGTTCCCCTTTGTTCTTAGGTAGTTTTTTGATTACCACTTCAATTTCATTGCTGGTAATTGGTCTGTTCATATTTTCTGTTTCTTCTTGGGTCAGCCTTGGAAGATTGTATTTTTCTAGAAAGTTGTCCAGTTCTTGTAAGTTATTGAATTTGTTACATATAATTTTTCACAGTATTCTCCAACAATTCTTTTCATTTCTGTTGTGTCCATACTGATTTTTCCTTTCTCATTTCTGAGTCTGTTTATGTGTGTACACTCTCTTTTTTTCTTGATAAGTCTGGCTAGGGGGTTATCTGTTTTGTTTATTTTCTGAAAGAACCAGCTCCTGGTTTCATTGATTCTTTCTATTGTTTTATTCTTCTCAATTTTATTTATTTCTGCTTTGATCTTTATTATGTCCCTCCTTCTACTGACTTTGGGCCTCATTTTTTCTTCTTTTTCTACTTTCATTAATTGTGAGTTTAGATTGTTCATTTGGGATTGCTCTTCTTTCTTGAGGTAGGCCTGTATTGCAATAGACTTCTCTCTCACAACAGCTTTCACTGCATCCCACGGATTTTCGGGTATTGAGTTGTTGTTTTTATTTGTCCCCATATATTGCTTGATCTCTGTTTTTATTTGGTCATTGATCCATTGATTATTTAGGAGCATGTTATTAAACCTCCATGTGTTTGTGAGCCTTTTTGTTTGCTTTGCATAATTTATTTCTAGTTTCATACCTTTGTGGTCTGAGAAACTGGTTGGTACAGTTTCAATCCTGAATTTACTGAGGTTCTTTTTGTGGCCTAGTATGTGGTTTATTCTGGAAAATGTTCCATGTGGACTTGAGAAGAATGTGTATCCTACTGCTTTTGGGTGGAGTGTTCTGTAGATATCTGTTAGGTCAGTCTGTTCTAATGCCTCTGTCCTTACTTATTTTCTGTCTGGTTGATCTGTCCTTTGGAGTGAGTGGTGTGTTGAAGTATCCTAAATGAATGCATGGCATTCTATTTTCCCCTTTTAATTCTGTTAGTATTTGTTTCATGTATTTAGGTGATCATATGTTGGGTGCATAGATATTTATGATTGTTGTATTCTCTTGTTGGACTGATCCCTTTATCATTATGTAATGTCCTCTTGGTCTCTTTTTACTTTCTTTGTTTTGAAGTATATTTTGTCTGATAGAAGTACTGCAACTCCTGCTTTTATGTCCCTATTATTTGCATGAAATATCTTTTTCCATCCCTTCACTTTTAGTCTGTGTATGTCTTTGGGCTTGAAGTGAATCTCTTGAAGGCAACATATAGATGGGTCTTCTTTTTTTATCCATTCTGTAACTCTGTATCTTTTGATTGTTGCATTCAGTCCATTTACATTTAGGGTGATTATCAATAGATATGTACTTGCCATTGCAGGCTTTAGATTTATGGTTACCAAAGGTTCAAGAGCAGCTTCTTTACTATCCAACAATCTAACTTAAGTCATTTATTATGCTATTTCAAACACAATCTAAAGGGTTTTTTTCTCCCTTCTTTTTCTTGTTCCTCTACTCTTTATATATTAGGTGTCATATTCTGTACTTTTTGTGTATCCCTTGACTGACTTTGTGGGTAGTTGATTTAATTTTGTATTTGCTCAGTAATTGATCTACTTCCTTTACTGTGGTTTTATTTTCTCTGGTAACAGCTATTTAGCCTTAGGAGCACTTCCATCCATAGCAGTCCCTCCAAAATACACTGTAGAGATAGTTTGTGGGAGATAAATTCCCTCAACTTTTGCTTATCTGGAAATTGTTTAATCCCTGCTTCAAATTTAAATGATAATCTTGCTGGGTATAGTATTCTTCGTTTGAGGCCTTTCTGTTTCATTGCACTAAATATATCATGCTATTCCCTTCTCACCTGTAATGTTTCTGCTGAGAAGTCTGATGATACCCTGATGGGTTTTCCTTTGTATGTTACCTTTTTTCTCTCTCTGTCTGCTTTTAATAGTCTGCCCTTGTTCTTGATCTTTGCCATTTTAATTATTATATGTTTTGGTGTTGTTTTCCTTGGGTCCCTTGTGTTAGGAGATCTATACATTTCCATGGCCTGAGAGACTATTTCCTTCAGGAAAGGACAGGTGGACAAAATCATCCCAGCACACTCAGCCCAGCAGGTTGGGAACTTCTAGGGGCTTCAGGAGCTCCATTCCCCTGGCTGGCAACACAGCACAGACACTCCCCTGAGGTACACAGCCTGCTGCTCTTTTCTTCCAGCCAGCAGGAACTGGGGAAGTTTTCAGCAATTATTTCCTCAGAGACTTTTTATCCCTATTTCTCTCTCTTCTTTTAGTACCCTTATAAGGGAAATATTGTTCCATTTGGATTGGTTTCACAGTTCTCTTATTATTATTTCATTCCTAGTGATCATTTTTTTCTCTCTATGCCTCCGCTTCTTTGTATTCCTGTTCTCTAATTTCTATTTCATTTACCATCTCATCTAACTCATCTTGTCTGCTTTGAAATCCCTTCAGTGCATGTTTCATTTCAGATAGCATATTTTTCAGTTTTTCTTTCTTGAAGTCCTCCCTGAGATCTTGAATATTTTTCTATAGCTCCATGAACATGTTTATGATTTTTATTTTGTAATGTTTAACAAGAAGATTGGTGATTTCAGTTTCACTTAGCCTTCTTTCTGGTGTTTGAGGGATTTTGGTTTGCACAAGATTCTCTTGCTGTTTCATATTTCTAATGTTTACTATGGAATAATATCTTTGTGTAGGTGGCACACGCTATTGCCCAGAAGCTGTACTCTCTGGAGCTGCCCATCCCCTGGAGTGATGGTGGGGGTTGCAGGTGAGAAGCACCAATGACGGCCGGGAGGAAAGAGCTCTTTCCTGCTTCCTGGCTGCAGTGCCTGCCTCCCTTGCCAGGGCCAGTGGGTCAAGTATGCAGGGAGGAGCCTCTGTGTTATACCCTTGTAGCTGTCATGGGTGGGGATGCCCTCTGGCTGGCCTGGTGCAATGGTGTGGGCAGCAGATGTGTGAACTGGTGCCAGCTGGAAGGAAGGAGTGGCATGCTGTGTACTGCAATGGGGAGTGTCTGTGCTGCCAGCTATGGGAATGGAGAGCCTGAACTCCTAAAAGTTCCCAGCCTACTGGGCTGAGTGTGCTGGGATGATTTTGTCCACCTGTCCTTTCTCCTGAACAGCAATCTCTATGTAATCCTTACCCCGTTAGCAGCCCTCTCACTGTTGGGAAGTCCTTCAAAGTGACCACCTTTCTTTTGTCCTGAAGCAGCCAGTTGTGGGTTCCTGTTCTCCACAAGCTGCTGGAATCTCAGTCTCTCTTAGTATTCTGCCTGTCTTTGCTTTCCAACCCCCCTAAGCATGATGTAATGTGGGTTTGTGCTCCCGGAGTAGTTCTCCAGGGGTGGGTGTTTAGCAGTTCTGGGATTCTACTCCCTCTCCTCTCTGTTTCTCTTCCTCCCACCAGTGAACTGGGTTGGGGAGAAGGCTTAGTCCTGCTGGATCACAGCTTTGCTACTTTACCCTTTTCCATGAGGTCTTCTCTGTTCCCCAGAAGTCGACAGTCTGTTTCAGTCTTCTTTCTTTTCACTCTTTCAGGATTAGTTGTATTTGCTGTGTTTTCATGTTATATGTAGTTTGGGGAGGAGGTTTCTGCCTCACTTCTCATGCCACCATCTTTTTCAGCTATGGGGCATTTACTTTTGAATATTATAGGTTAGAAGAGCATGTTTGGGGTGATACAGGACCCAAAGCTCACTATTGAATGCCTAGAGGTGGTTATATGTGATCCAGACATACAGAAGATTTTTCCTGAGTGACTTCTGATAGACTTGATTGGATAAAAGCCACTGCAAAGTGTATTTACCTTAAGAAGGACTGCCCAACTCTCCCTATAAGTCCTGAGTGGGACACCTCAGATGAAGCAGCTAACGTGCTTGGCATGCAGGTCATATGGAATTGGCTTTCTGATGACTGTGATATTCACCTTCTGAATATGCCCATTGCCAGATTATGATTAAATGGGCCCCAGCCAAGTGGTGTAACTCTTGCAAAATCAGTCAGAAGCTTTATCAGATTTGCTGTCTCAACTTCCCCTGTGGATTATTCTGAAGCCAGGTCACTAAAGGAATCAAAAAGAACATGGAAGAGAGACAGAGAGGAGAGTCAAGAGATTCCACCCAGCAAGGTGGAAGTCTCTAGATGGTTATTGACAAATGTCATGAATATTAGTTTCCAGCATCCAACTACGTCCTTCTGTGTTCAAGTTTTTTTCTTCTTGAAGGATATCTATTGGTTCCTTCAGAGATATCTATGAAAGAAACCCCAGGGTTTGTTTAAAGATGTGACTATTTTATCCTGACACAGGAATTCTATTTTAGCTGGTTTACCGATCAGCTTTTGCCAAACCACCTAAAACTCACTGGCTTGTAATAGCAATCTTATTTTGGCTTTGTTTTCTTGCTTCATTTATGGAATGTGGGTATTTATTTGCTCTGCCTTGGATTTCTATTTGTGTTATATTTTATGCATCCATTTTACGTCTTTGTTGAGAGAGCAAACACTTCAGTCTAACAATGGGTAGAAATCTTATAAATGTCTTAAAATCACACTGCATGCTGTTTTGGTGAAAATGCTCAATTGAAAGATAACTAGCCAATTTTTTCACCAGCTTTTTAAGTTTTACTTGAAATAAACCAGAAAACTTGCAAAAAACACTTTTAGAAGTGG